CTTCAGCGATATCAAAGGCCATCCCCGGAATTGATCCGTGCGATTTCTCCGTTGGTTTGGACTTTTCCCCCCTCAGGTATATAACTAGAAGAAAAAAAGCAAAAAAAAAAAAAAAAAAAAAAAAAAAAAAAAAAAGGGAATTACAAGGTTTGTGAATCTACTGTTTATATTTTTCAGAATTTGTTTCTTTAATTTTTGTGGTCATTTTGCTTTTTTCTTTCTTGCTTTTCTTTTTATTTTATTTTATTATTTCTCGATTCATGTTCCCAGAATGATTTCTGCCTGTCTGTTGATACAGTCCCCAATGAAAACGTGCTAGTCGCAGTGTCTAGACAAATAGGCCGACGTGAGCTAACGGTGCGGGTTGCCCCATCCATGGCAGCTTTCTTTCTTTCTACCTAAAGGTACTCTCCGAACTAGTGCTACGGTCCTATCGTCCTCCACCTCTGCCGCCTCCCACATTGGTTACGTCCACCAACCCTTCACCGTCGACATTCACCACACACCAACCGCCGTAACTTCTGGCTGCTGCCATTCTCATCCAGCGCCTCCTGTAATTCCCCATCTCTCCCTTTTCTATATTCTCTCCCCACAACCATTCAGCAATCGGCTCCTCCTCACAGCTCTCCCTATTCTCTTCACCGCATCTTTCTCCTTTCATTTCCTCGTCACCTCGGGTCTAGACACCTTTGGAAGATTATCTGCACAGTCACTTTGCAGAGCCTCAGGTAGTTCCAGGTATACAATATGGTTGTCGCCACTATCAAGTACGTTTACTGGCTCCTTTTTAACCACCATTCTCATTGCCTCGCTCCTCCCCCCTCCGACTTGCCCCCCTTTCTGATGCCGCACGTCGGGTCCCTTCTTCCCAAGATTGGTTCCATTATCAACCAGCGATTTGCTAACCACGGTTATCTCTCTTCGTCAGGTGTGTTGTCGTCGGTGACGGTGCTGTGGGCAAAACATGTCTCCTGATTTCGTACACAACAAACAAGTTCCCTTCGGAATATGTTCCTACTGTTTTTGATAACTATGCTGTCACTGTCATGTAAGTGAACCCGATTGCTTCGAGCCGCGACAGGCGCAACGAGTTCCCCGGAGTGTCCGCCCCTGTGATATGTTCCGACAGACAGTAGCCTTGATAACGCGTCGTTGGATCCATCCACCGGATTTGTCAACCTCTCACAATCAATTGACTAACCCGACGCCTCCATAGGATTGGCGATGAACCGTACACTCTGGGACTTTTCGATACTGCTGGTCAGGAGGATTATGACCGTCTTCGTCCCCTTTCATACCCCCAGACCGACGTTTTCTTGGTCTGCTTCTCCGTGACGTCTCCCGCTTCCTTCGAGAACGTGCGCGAAAAATGGTTCCCCGAAGTTCACCACCATTGTCCTGGTGTCCCCTGCCTGATCGTGGGCACCCAGACTGATTTGCGCGACGATCCCGCTGTCCGCGAAAAGCTCTCCCGCCAGAAGATGCAGCCCATTCGTAAGGAAGATGGAGACCGGATGGCCAAGGAATTGGGCGCCGTGAAATATGTCGAATGCTCCGCTCTAACTCAATATAAACTCAAGGATGTTTTTGACGAGGTGAGTCGGGTCAACGCTGTTGGCTCTGCTGCTTGCATTGTATACTGACGGAATGAACCAGGCAATTGTTGCCGCCCTCGAGCCTGCTCCTAAGAAGTCGAAGAAGTGCGTTTTGTTGTAACCGAACACACATCTTTCTAGAGCAGGGTTAGTTTCCTCCAACTGTTACCCAGACCATGTTACTGATGTATCCTAGCTACATCGCATATTTCGGGAAGATCGAGGTTTTGAAGCGCATAAAACTAAACTGTTATGGATATCAAGGGTCACAGCTCATGAGTCGATTGCCATCTGTTACCCAATCTCGAGACGATATTTCTAATGATTGCCATCCTCGTATTCTTTCGTTGCCCAATTTATGGCATTCATTGATCCGATATACCCTGGGAAAATTTGACCTCCCAACTCTGCCGCGGAGACTATCGACGAACCGAACCGCTTTACCTTCATCTTTCAGCCGGCTTGCCTTTGCCATATTCCCCTTACCCTCTCCTCCTCCTGCCTTCTCATTTCCTGTCCCTTTCTTCTCTTTGTCCATCTTCGATTCTCTATTACCACTCATCGTCTCTATCGGCGTTGGAAGTCGAGGCGTCTTGTTTTGGCTGGCTGATGGTATTGATCTGTTTCTTTATATTCGCGATTTGTTGTCACGTCCGCACCTTCTGTCACATTGCTGTGCCATTTTATCATTGTCATGTTACAGTCTTGAACTAGATAGCGCAGATACATCAGTGACCACCAAGGCTTTGGTACTCACAGACCATGGCGTAATCTGGTCCAATGTAATGAGGATTGTCATTATTTGTCGCACGCTCCAACTACTAATAGCCACTAGTGTCAGCTTGGAAAGGAGAATGTGGATGTTACCCAATCGGGACTTACGATCGGTCCAATGTTTTGACTTGTTGTGACTGGCTCATAAAATCGTTCGAGGTTATTTCAAACATGTCCATGCAAGTTCTCATATCTATTTGTAAAAAAAAAAAAAAAAAAAAACATGATACCCTCCACCTTCTGACACTGATGACTCCAGACTATGGGTGTCTGCCCAGCATATGGGTTTCTCGACAAGTTCTAGTCAATCCAAGCCGACTCTATTCCACCTGGTAACATGGTTGAGTCCGCATCTGTCTAGAAAGGGAAATGTCTCGGCTAAGACCTGAAAGAGATCAGCCCAGTCATTTATTCTGAGCTCGGAATACGCTCGTCATCATCTGTCAGAGATGATGGTGAGTGGAGAGGTGATTTGTTTCTGGCTGGATATACAGAAATAAGGGAGATCAGATGTTATTGAGAAGTGTGTTGTGTTGTGGGAGTGAATCTGTAATCGCAATCATTAGGGAATGTGATATTCTTGTCTATATCTTGCTGAACCCTTTCACTAGGTGATGACTGCTTGTAGTACTGAATAGGCACATAGGACACTTTCTCCAGTGTGGTCCATCAGGCATTTTGTATGTTCTTTATTACTAACTCCACCTGTTTGTACATCAAACATAACTCATTTGTAGCGTCATAGTATCTGGTTTACAGCTCGTCTTTGCCTTCCCTCTTCTTCTCTTCCTTGCGTCCATACCATCCTCCCAATTCTTCGCCAGCTCCCGCCTTGACCATGCTGGTGATTATCTCATAGGCCACCTGGGCAGCCGCGAGAGCGGTAGTTTCTCCCTTATTGTCGTAGCTTGGGGATACCTCGACGATATCCGCACCGACAATGTTCAATTTCTCAAGACCGCGCATGATTCGAATGAACTCACGGGTGGTCCAGCCACCAGGCTCAGGGGTACCGGTTCCGGGGGCAGTCGAGGGGTCAAGCACGTCGATATCCACAGACAGATACACGGGTTGCTCCGGATCCAGACCAATGCGCTCAATGATCTTATCCACGATGCCCATGGGGCCTAGGTCGTCAATGTCGTCAGCATGGATGCGCATGAATCCCTGCTCGGGGCCGGGGTTGGTGTAGTCGCTATCAGTGACACCCGTCAAACGGGTGCGCAGTCCGGCATGAGCAGAGGTTGAGTTGCAAATGAGACCCTCACGGCTCGCCTTGTGGAAGAAACTGCCGTGGTTAAACGCTGACTGTTCCGATGTCCAGTATGCTGAGTAGCGAACGGGGTTCCAGGTGTCCAAGTGCGCATCGAAGTGCAACACTGTGATGGGCTTCTTGTAGATTTGGTACAGGGCACGGAGAGCCGGTAGTGCAACACTGTGATCTCCTCCTAGAGTGACCAGCTTCGCCTTTCCGGTGGAGATGCCCTTAGTGCCGTACTTGGAGTCGGCAGGAGTAATGGGAGGTCGTGAGCCTAGCTCAAGGAAGGCTTCGTACATTTGGCGCTCCGCTACACCATTGTCGAAAGGAATGATAGGAATATCCCCGCAGTCCTTAACGGTGGCCCACGAGCTGTAGGGGTTGATGCCCGCACGGGTGTTGTAAGCTGTGCCGGCCATCTGGCGAGCACTGGCAGCACGAATGGAACGGGGACCAAAACGAGCTCCTGGAGGCCAAAGTTAGCCTCTGCGTTTAATGGAGGTAAGTCGGAGTGCATACCTGGTCTGTAACTGACAGCAGTATCGAAGGGAGCTCCGATGACGGCGATATCATATCGCTCATCGGGTTCGATTAAGCATTTGACTGGTTTTAGGTGCGCAAAGCTAGCAATGCCAGAAAATGACCACTGGGATTTATCAGTCAGGTTTGCCACTATGTAAGGTAGAGCCACATGTGTACCTCTTGATCCCATTTCTTCAACAGCTCCTCACGCAAGTGCTCGGGAACCACTTCAGAGTCGTCGTGATGGGCGTGAGATAAGGCAGTGCCGGCTAGAGCCAGCAACCCCAGGGTATACTTCATTATGAATTGTAAGGTGCCACGGGCAAGACAAAATAAGTCGAAGGGGTGCTTGAAAAGTACAGAGAAGAGGAATTGAATCTGGGGAAAGTTCTCTAGTAGTTATAGGCGCATAGATAGTATGGAGATTGTGAAAGCGTTATCGATAGGAACAAACCGTCCATTCATTTGGCGCCAAAAAGTGGGCCTTGAGGCCTCAGGCGCGCGGAGTATCGTGCGGACTTTCCCTTCTGGTCACTTTTCTTTTAGTTCCATGTTTCCAACGTCCATCGCTCGCTCTTCCTCTTTTCGTTCCCCGCATTTATATCGGTCCGATCTTCCATAGATCGCTGCTTGACTCAGAGCTTGTAGAATCCAATCGAAGCCGATCATATTCGAATCTCGTCTTGAGAACCTCAGGATGCCATGCGTCGTGTTGTCGTGACGGGTTTAGGAGCTGTTACTCCTTTGGGAGTAGGTAAGTTGTTCTATATCTTGCTATACAGATGTCCAAGTACACTGTTCTATCCAAAATTCCCTTTGGTCCGTGGCTATAAGCTTGTTCTTTTGTCGTGATTCTTCAGTGTTTACTTGAAAGTCTCGCTCGGATTTGTCTCCACTTCCGATATTTCCGAAAGGGGAAAGTCTTGGATACCGGGTCCAATCGCCACGGACATTCCTAGTTAGGAAGTTAGAAAGAGACACCTGCAGTCCACACGATGATTCCAATTCTCGGGCTTATTATGCGCGGATAGCTAAAGTACAGTCATTCTAGGTATCCGTCGCACATGGAAACGTCTGTTAGATGGTCACTGCGGCATTGTTAATGTCAACTATCGTGATTCCAGATTCTCCGACTTACCATGTCAGATTGCCGCTCCAGTGCCGAATGGCAAGAGGCAGAATGGTGGCTGGACTGCCTCAGAATGGCTAAGTAAGGATGTATGTGCAACGTCTCTTGTTTTTCTATATTTGTATGGTCTTCGAGAGAATAGCAGATCTGATGCCATTAATAGGAAGAGCGTAAGATGGCGCGTTTCGCCCAGTATGCTTTGGCTGCTTCAGAAGAGGCTCTTGAAGATGCATGTTGGAAGCCCACTTCGTTTGAGCAGAGAGAATCTACGGTAGACGTCTACAAGACATCATGTATCTCGAAAATACTGATGGCCGCGTAGGGCATCTGTCTCGGATCCGGAATTGGCAACTTCGATGAGATCTACGACACAGTCGTGGCATATGAAAAAGGAGTATGTCGCAAATGAGTTTTGCATCGCCATTACATCTGTATTAACTCCTTCTAGGGCTACAGAAAGGTGTCACCTTTATTTGTCCCGAAGCTGCTCATCAATCTCGGCGCTGGTCATATCTCCATGAAGTATGGATTGATGGTATGGCTAATCCTAATCTGTGTTTTTACCACTGCTAATGGTTCGACAGGGTCCAAACCACGCGGCTACAACTGCATGCACTACTGGAGCACATTCCATCGGTGATGCTGCTCGCTTTATCGCCTGCGGTGATGCGAACGTGATGTTAGCTGGCGGCGCTGAATCTTGCATCCATCCGCTAGCTGTTGGAGGCTTTGCCCGGGCACGGAGCCTCGCAACGAGCTATAATGATGATCCGGAGAAGGCGTCCAGACCTTTCGATGCGGATCGCGAAGGGTTTGTGGTCGGTGAGGGCGCGGCAATAGTTATTTTAGAGGTACTTAGCATCGCATCTTATATTAATTCACAGCACTAACTTCTAACTAGGAGCTAGAACATGCAAAGGCAAGAGGCGCACGTATCTATGCCGAGTTGAGAGGATATGGCTGTTCAGGTGATGCACATCATATAACAGCGCCCAAAGAAAACGGCGAAGGGGCATTCATGGCAATGAGAAAGGCTCTGAAGAATGCCGGTCTTTCACCGTCTGTGGTTGACTACGTTAATGCACACGCCACTTCGACTGTAGTCGGAGATGCGGCAGAAAATGCCGCGATCAAGGCACTCCTTCTTGGGCCTGAAGGAAAGCGCAATGCAGGGGATATAAACATCAGCAGCACCAAGGGCGCTGTGGGTCACTTATTAGGCGGTGCTGGCGCCGTGGAGGCCCTGTTCACCATCCTTGCTATTCATGAGGTAAGTGTCACTATCTGTGCTATGGAAATACTCTAATTTGCTGTATCAGAACAAAATGCCTCCTACTATTAACCTTGAGCATCTCGCCATCGGATTCGACTGCAACTACGCCCCGAATCAGACTCAAGAGCGCCAGATAGATGTGGCACTGACCAACAGTTTCGGCTTTGGAGGAACCAACAGTAGTCTCTGCTTTTCCAGACTATAGAGCACTTGGTGACATTAGATTGGATAATTGCGAGCTATACTCCATGTAACACAACGCGTACTTGTACACTAAAATAATAAGAAGCTCAGCTTGTGAAAGTTGTAAGAAACTTACACCCTGATGCTAGAGTAAACTTGTGCTGGTTCTTAGAATCGACCGTGACACAAACTCTCCAGGGGTCAGATTGTAGTTTGGTATGATTTGGCCTCAAGAATGGGCTTCATTGTCTTATTGTCGCTGCAAGAACATCAACAACAATGAAGAAGTAATTAAAGACTATTCAATACTGAAATACGCGGTCACTAAACTAAAACTCTGTATAGTTACTGTCCTCTTGAACTATTATAATTTACATCGCCGAAAACTGGCCATTATCCTGGCAACCAGCACGTGACATCTAAATGCGGAGCAGCCCCGGACTCACCTCGACCATATCACGCGCACCTCAAACTTCATGACAAAGCAGCGCTCTGCAGTTCAGTATCTTATTAAATCATTTCACTCGTTTACTATCACTATATCTTTCTTTACTACCAGAGTTGAGTCACTTTCTTGGTCGTTGGTGGGTTGGCCATGGCTACCAATGGTGAGACCAAAGGTAGACACCACTAAACCCTCCTCGGGCCGAACTTAGATGGTTACAACATCATATAGAATGAGTTGTGCTGATATTGTCCTATTTTATGATAGCGCCGTCGTCCGGCAGCTTAGTTGATGCGTCCGGGTACAAGTTCTCCGAGAAAGACACCAAGCCCGGCAAGATTAAGTTGAAGAAGTCGGTTAAGTTAGGCAAGAAGAAAGGTGATGGTGTGTTACCCCCTTTCTACTTGGCTTTCATCTTAATTTGCGGGGTGTGGGAGCAGAAGCTGTGGGTTGTGTATTTACTAATGGTTTGACGATGTGAAGATGCGCCCGATTCCCCCGGTTCATCACCTATTCTCCCTGAGATCGACGAAAAGACTATGGCCGCTTTCCCTACGGGCAAACCACGAGAAGAGGATCACTTAGAAACAGTCATATGTAAGACTTGCAAGAGGCCGGTCCTCAAACAGAATGCTGTGGAGCATATTCGGGGCTGTATTCGGGCGAAGCAGGAGAAGGCGAGGCGAAAGAAGGAGGCGCGCGATGCGGCTAACCGGGCCAAGGCCGGTGATAAGGACGGTGACGAGGATGCTGCTGGCGGCGATGGTGATGATTCCATGAAGGGTCAGAAGAGTGCTAAGAAGAGCGCCGTTAAGGGAATGGCGGAGGATGGAACGAAGAAAGGGAAGAAGCGCAAGACGGAGGGAGAAGACGATAAGGATAAGGAGCCTAAGAAGAAGAAGAAAAAGGAGGAGCCCAAGCCCAAGGTTCCGAAGCCGAAGGGGCCCGTTGATGTTGAGAAGCAGTGCGGTGTTACTCTGCCGAATGGTGCCCAGTGTGCGAGGTCTTTGACTTGTAAGAGTCATTCCATGGGCGCGAAGCGAGCAGTCCCTGGTCGTTCATTGCCGTACGATATGTTGCTTCAGGCTTATCAGAAGAAGAACCAGGCTCGCCAGCAAAGTGAGTATTGCCCATATAGCTGGAGGATACGTTTCCGAACAGAGCTGATCGGTCATGCTTTTCAGAGGCCGCAATCGATGCCAATGCTCCTCTGCAGGACGATATGGATAACAATGGTCCTGTCGACTCGGATGAAGAAAAAGATGCTGTTATGGCAGCTATTACTCGCTCTCACCCGCAGCCCGTCATCACTCATACTCTGATCTCGACTAAGAAAAAATATCAATATGTCCGCATTAAAGAGATGCTATCCCACGCCCTAGGCGGTGCGCGCGGTGGCGGACTCTTTTCAACCGGCGATAGCAATACCACCTCCAATGACGGAAACCTCTTCGCTCCTATGGACGACGTGGTCATGACTTCTCCGGTCATTACCAGCGCAGATAACACAGCAGATGTGGACAGTGCAACTCCAGCACCAGTCGCGAAGAAACTTTCAATATCGGCGAGTTCCTAGGTAAATATGCTTGTTAGCGTTTTGTGTTGGTCTGAGGAGCAGCGATGAGTGATGATCCTTTCTTTCCACTATTTGGGTATGACTGCCACATCGTGGAGTCTCGAACGGCGTTCAGGAAACCTACGGAATGGGTCTAATTCGGATTTTTTGTGATGATATGATACCCCGGAGTCCATTGCATGTACCACTGGCGAGACTGAGTGTAAATTATCGGATGTTTTTATGTTCTCTATATCTTGATAGACACTGTTCAAAAATTTAACCGTTTGTATATCGACGATGTGTGGATATTTGTCAACAGTACTAGACCCATTTTGACTCAAAGATATCAAACACAGTTGTACATCCTGTAGATTGTCATATTACCAGGTATCCATGATGCCCTACAGCTACCCCAAAATAGATTGTTTCTGCCTGAGGCCACAACAAGCTATCTCCAACCGCGGCGGGATGAAGACGGGTTTAGCTCCATGTGCGCCCACCGATCCTTTGAAGGCGGAACACATGCAGCTCGCCTTTCACAGCACCCCACCGTCACTGCGACATTCAGGTCTACTGGGGAAGCTATAGCTTCTGCGCCTACGGGCGGAGGTCTTGATCTGCTCGTGCTGGACAGCAAACACCTAGACATTTTCACCTATACGCCCCATCTGCGCCACGCACTCCCTAAATTCAATCGAACCCTTTCGTGATGTCCAACTCTGTTCCCGATCTCGACGCTGTCGGGATCAAGGCAGAGCCTGAACTAGCAGACCAATTTCGCCGCGAAGTCGCGACTCTCCTCGGCCGCAACAACCTCAACTTTCCCGGCGCACAGCCCGTCAGTTTCTCCAGCAAGCATCTCCTCGAGCTCCAACGGCAAGACTACTATGTCTGCGAGAAAACAGATGGCATCCGCTGTCTGATGTACTTTGCCCGTGGCGATCCAGACTCAGAGACACCCGAAATCCACTATCTAATTGACCGCAAGAACGACTACCGCTACGTGCCGGGCTTGCATTTCCCTCTCCCCAATGATGAAAGTTTCCAGTCTTACCACGTCGACACCCTGGTTGACGGCGAGTTGGTGAATGATACATATGAGGATGGAACCCAACAGCTCAAATACCTCGTTTTCGACTGTCTGGTCCTGGACGGACAGAGCCTGATGCATCGCACGCTGGATAAACGACTTGCGTATTTCAAGGAGAAGGTCCTCAAGCCATATAATGCTCTCTACCACCGCTTTCCCGAGGAGAAACAACATCGCGTCTTCGCGGTTGAAGACAAATCTACCCAGTTCAGCTACGGTATCGAGATGATGTTCCGAGAGATCATTCCCAAGGTCAAGAAAATTCACGGTAATGACGGTCTCATCTTTACCTGTCGCAGTACACCCTACCGCATCGGAACGGACGAACACATTCTCAAATGGAAGCCTCCGGCCGAGAATACTATTGATTTCCGCATGCGCTTGGAGTTTCCTGTCCTGGAACCTGACACAGATGACGAGGCGGATGGTATTTCCGAGCCGTATACGGATTACGACGCTATGCCTATCTTTCATCTATTTGTGATGCTTAATTCCAACGAGTACCGGCACTTCGCGGAGATGTTTGTCACCCCATCCGAATGGGAAGAGCTTAAGGCTCTGGGGCTGCCCCTTGATGATAGCATCGTTGAGTGTTCTAAGGATGAACACAATCGATGGCGCTATCATCGTCTCCGAGACGATAAGGCTGACGCGAATCATATCTCTACCGTTGAGAAAGTCCTTGAGAGCATTCAGGACCGTGTGACGGAGGAAGATCTCATCCAGGCTGCGCCGGCGATCAAGGCATCATGGAAGAAGCGCCAGGCTCAGATGGCCTCGGAGGACGAAGAGCGGAAACGAAGGGCAAGACAGGCACCGCCACATGCAAACGGAAACGGAGTGAAACGGAAATTCGAGGATTCATAGTTTCCTTTTTGTTTTTTTTTCTTTAATGTTGAACAAACCTACTTGTTGGGTATTATTTTACTTGGCTTCGGTTCGGGATTGCAAGGAGTCTGGCGTTGATCTCTGCTTCATGCATATGAACTGGAGAGGGGCTGCCTGTCGGCAAGTTTAAAATGGAGGCTGACCTGGGGATTATCGTACAAGTGTACTTTCTATGATGCTATGCACTCTTGCTATTCCAATGACTATTGGCTAGATGGGTTATATCGCAAGATAATCCAGCTTGATCTTTGATAATTCATATGCGGTATAGCTCGTTCTCTGGTATCGACCAAGCTCCTGTTTCACCTAGAAGAATCCGCAGCGTGATACGTTCAAAGCTCAAAGTTTGGTTTTCATTGACGGCAACAGCTACATTGCTCAGGTATAAAAAAACAGGACACAACAATGTTACATCATACACTCTATCGTTTCTTGATGCTCACGTCAATGTTTCCAATCGCCCATACGGCAGCGAACACAGTCAGCAATCCAGTGGTGATGGTCACGGGCTTGCGCATTCCATCCCAGAAGGAATAATCATAGGTAACCTGTCAATGATTAGCATTCCATCTAGTGGAGCGTAATATAAGGTTGAATACTTACCACCAACTGAGAATCACGAGCCTCATCGGACAAATTCTCAACCGTCAGGGTCAACGCAGTACGGCCCAAAGTGTCCATGAAGGTCTTGTGGGGAGACACGTGGGACTTGATCTGATCGGCAGGGGGAAGACCATTGTTGGAGGCAGTCTCAATCGTCTCGTACCGGACGTTACGGGCTCCCTCGGGAAGAATGACACGAACAACCACCTTCTCATACTGCACACCTTCGGGCATCTTGGGTCCCTCGATGAAAGGAACCTTGAGAACATACGAATCGGCGCCGGTCACCCGGCGAAGGAAGGTAGAGAGCTCGTCATTCCAACCAATACGGAAGCTGTAGTTCCAGCCACCAAAGACGGGAAATCGGGGGCGAAGTTCTAAAGATCCATCACGCTTGGGAGGCTTGCCAGGGCGATAGCGGCTCGTGGAGACATTACCGATGTCATCAATGAAGTAGGGGTCCACCGAGCCAGGCTTCAGCGGATACTTTAGTTCACGGATGGCAGAAGAAGGCAATTGCTGGAAGTTACTGAGTGTCCACTCAACGCGCGAGAATTGATTGATGAGGTTGGAGCCGTTATTGCGAAGCCAGTAGCGCTCTTCTGTCGCCAAGTTTCCACCCCAGTGAGACACCTCCAAGTCTCTCTCCAGCAGCGAAGCTGTGATTACCGGCTTGGTAAACTCATAACGGATGGTAATCGGGTAGACAGTACCGGGTGTGACCTCAGTCGTATCATAAGGGCCGTAAGTGTAAGTTGTACCATGACGCTCAGGATCCGAGCCTGACTTGAGGCCGGTGGTAGTGGTATAGTCAGGAACATTGGTACTAGGAAGCTTCAGTTTCGTCTTTTGGGTCACAGTTGGGTAGGCTGAGTGGATATAGGCAGAAAATGAGTAGGTGAGGTACTGCTTATCAGCCTGGTTGATAGCGGCAGGGCGCGGGCTCAGGGAGGAGAGGAGGTAGTAAGAAATTCCCAAAGTAACCTGCGACTTGGGCGCAAGAGGCTCGGGGAGGTCGATGGCAAAGAATTTGGTGTCACTGCGAGATGCGGGAAAAGCAATCAGATATTAGTTTATATGCTGCAAACAGTATAGCCAGATTAAGAAACCGTGGCTTCGTCATCTCAATAGCAACCAGCCACTAGTAGCCACAATAGCGTACTCACCTGGGCGAATCGATAGACAATGCATCCACTACGAAAGGTCCCTTCTCCGGTGCCTTTCTATCTCTCACTTCCAATCCTCCGACCTTGTCGAATACCTCCGATGGGAAGGCCAAGTAGTAGGTGCTCTGCGGTTCATTACCCACGTTCTCCACCACCACGTTGACAGTCTCCCGAGCATAACCTTTCTCCAGGTTGGTATTCCGGACCAAGTTTACATTCTTGAATGTCTGGGGAGGCTGGAAGGAGGGATGGGTCCTCGCGGAGGATTCGGCGCATACGAAGCTACTGCTTGACAGGAGGAACCCGCAGAGTGCGGCGAATGCTGTGATCGGCCTCATTGTGACGATGGGCGGGCGTGCAACTGACCGCGCCTAGGACACAATGTCTCTCACCAGGAGATGGTCCTATAAAGAAGAAGAATAAAAAGAAATGGGATGGATTGAACAGGGGGGGAGGGAAGGTAGCGCGGCGAGATTCGACGTGATGCTGATGTGTCCCGATGCTGCTTAGATTCCGGTGACCGCTGCGGCCAAAGACGCCATCCTCTCTTATCGCCGATAAGTCCTACTCCTCTCCTCCACATTTTCCAGCTACTTCTTTCTCCACTCTTACTGTCAAGCTACCCTCACAGCATAGCGTCTACCTGATCACTATGCTTGCTTCGCGAGCTGCAGCTCGCCATTGCTGCAGGAGAGCAAGGGTACCAGCATCGGCCTTTCCCGCACGACACCTTCATGGCCTTGCGCAAAGCAAGTTTCTTCAGGTCTCGGAGGAAGTTCGTGACGCCGTAGCCACAGGAAAGCCTGTGGTAGCTCTAGAGTCCACAATCTACACTCACGGTATATATCCACACTTTCGTTTTTATCCGTAGGCGGAGAATTACTCGCTGATCTGCAAACAGGATTTCCATATCCTGAGAGTGTTGCTCTTGCGTCGTTGCTGGAAACCGTCGTACGGGCAAATGGCGGAGTTCCCGCTACAATTGGAATTTTGAACGGAGTAGCCAAGGTCGGTCTTAACGCCGAAGAGCTTATCGAGCTGGCCTCTACCGCGGAGAGCAAGAATGCCCTGAAGGTTTCCCGCAGAGATTTGGGTTACATATGCGGACTGGTCAGTTAATTTGTGCGCCGTTTTGAAGAACGTCTCTAACAATACTAGGGCCTGGCTGGGAAACGACTGCACGGTGGTACAACAGTCTCGGGCACGATGATCCTTGCCCACCTGGCTGGCATTAAGGTCTTCGGGACTGGGGGTCTTGGTGCGTCTCTGCGCAGTCTTAGGTCTCTTTCTAGAAACTAATCAGTCCTAGGTGGTGTCCACCGTGGTGGAGAGAATTCTATGGATATATCTGGTATGTTCTGCAGGCAAGCTCTAGCAGCCAATATCTAACCGCTTAGTAGCCGATCTCACCGAACTGGGACGGACCCCGGTTGCTGTTGTCAGCTCTGGATGCAAAAGCTTCCTGGACATCCCACGAACTCTGGAATATCTTGAGACCGAAGGTGTTTGTGTTGGGACATTCGCGGATGGCCGTACGGGCCAGATAGATTTCCCTGCGTTCTTTACGCGCGACAGTGGTATCAAGAGTCCAAAGGTTATTCAAGATGAGGCTGAGGCAGCTGCCATAATATGTGAGTTGGCTGTGCATCTCGTGCTTAGTACTAGTGGCTGACGTTTCGATAGATGCGCAACTAAAACTCCCCGTTTCATCGGGAATGCATTTCGCCAACCCGGTACCTGTGCAGCAGTCTATTCCCAAAAACGAAATGGATGATATTATTGAGGAAGCAATCCGCCTTGCTGAGGTGGAGGGCCATCAGGGCAGCGACAACACTCCATTCGTACTATCTAAAATCAAGCAACTCAGCGGTGGCAAGAGTGTTACTGCTAATCGTGCTCTGGTTGAGGCGAATGTGCAGCGTGCTACTCGCGTTGCTGTAGAACTTTCAAAGTTGGAACAGTCCAATGGAACGCTTAATGAGCGGTGAGTTGCCCTGTGCTAAATGCGACTCGGAATGACCCTAATTTCGAGGTGTCTTCAGGCATATGCCAGCAATTTCCGAGGACGTCAAAGCTGACCAAGCAACTTCAGAGGCAGAGCTTAAGCTCAACCCAACTACTGAAGGACCTATTGAGGCATTGGACAAGGTAGACGTTCTCGTTGCTGGCTCTCTCGCGGTTGATCTTTCCTGTGACTATGCTCCTCCTGCGGGAGAAAAAGACATCAAACCTGTTTCTGATACTTCCAATCCTGCCACCATCACACAGAGCCTTGGCGGCGTGGGTCACAATGTTGCCATTGCTACCAAGTATCTTGGCAGCTCCGTTCTTTTTTGTAGTGTTGTCGGGGACGATCTAAGTGGCCGTGCAGCCCTAACGGCTCTTCGAAAAGAGGGGCTATCCACTGCTGGCGTACAGGTGCTGCCCGCGTCAAACGGCGCCAGGACCGCACAGTATGTAGCTGTTAATGATGCGAAGAAAGACCTCGTTGTGGCTATGGCGGACATGGGCATTATGGAACTACCAGAGCAGAATTTGGACTTCGAGGGCTTTTGGGAGACTCTGCTCTCCCGCACGAGGCCTCAATGGGTTGTCGTTGATTCGAACTGGAGCCCTGAAGTCCTTTCCAAGTGGGTCGCTGTAGCCAAGAAGTATGGCGCAAGGGTCGCGTTCGAGCCCGTATCGAATGCCAAAAGTCGCCGCCTGTTCAGCAAAAGCACCGAGGTAGATGCGGCAATTAGCTCGTCGGCATCTGTCCCCAACAATGCGATCAGCCTGGCAACCCCCAACCAGTTTGAACTCACTACAATGTACACGGCAGCGCGTGAAAGTGGGCTGTTTGACTCCGAGGGCTGGTGGCACATCATAGATGCGATGGGTATGTCGTCAGCAGGTGCTCGAGACCGACTCGTTGCAATGACATCCAACCAACTTGTGGATCAAGGCATCCCCCAGCAGAGTATCCAACTCCTTCCTTACATCCCCTGTCTCATTACCAAACTAGGGTCACAGGGTGTCCTCGTCACTCAACTTCTTCGCCCCGGTGACCCGCGTCTCACTTCGCCCGATTCTGCTCCGTATATCCTGTCGCGTAGTGCACTGGCTGATGAGCTAGTTGGTGGTGTATATATGAGATTGTTCCCACCCGCCGCCGTGCTGGCCGACGAGGAGATTGTCAGTGTCAACGGAGCCGGAGATACGCTTTTGGGGGCGGTAATCTCGGGTCTCGCGAAGGGGGCAAAGACCGTAGAAGATGTCATTCCTTTTGCCCAGGAGGCCAGCCTTAGGACGTTGAAGAGTCCAGGAGGTGTCAGCAGTGATATTGTCAGCTTAGCGCGCTCCTGAGTCAACATAGAATCAGTGTGAATGTGTATAAATACTATTTGGAATGCACTATAACTATAACGTGGATATAGTTACCGCCCAATTTACCATGTTCCGCTCAAAATAAAGCCCTATCGACTCCCTCCCCTCCAACAACAGGAAGTCTGTCCACAACATCCCGTCCCTCTCTGTTCTTCCCAGTAGCCTTAAAACCGGTCGGTACCAGACTCGGGTCCAACAGTCCTATCTGCACCAAGACACTCGCCTGATCCCAATAGATATTATGCCGGGCCAGTTTCCCCGCAATGAAGCTAGCCGTCATGATAATCACAACGCGCACTTGTTTACCCGTAGGTGGCACCCGGGGCAGCAGCCACGGGATCTCTTCTGTATGCGTGAATGTGAGCAGAAGCTCGTCAACTATCCGGTCTGTGCCGGTCGTGCGAGACAACAGACGAATACTCTGTGACGGTGGTCCCGTGGGAAAGAATTGCGTGGTATAAAAATTAGTGATTTGAGCCGGGTGTTCTCCTAAAGATCGCCACCATCAGCCACGGTTTCTTCCCAGACCACATAGGGAAAAGAGCAAGAGCAGAAAAGGAACGGGAAGAGGTAAGTGGAAAAGGAAGCACATACCACCAATTGAGGTAGGGACGCAATTGACTATCGCTACCTCATTCAATTCCGCCGTCGGGTCGGATTTCTCCCCGTCGCTATCCCCGTTCCCGTTCAAGGGTATACCTCCACCACTCCCTACCATCATGTTCACTGTATTGGCCGCATGACGCTCCACCTCGTCTCGTCCCGCTTCCTGCCCATTGTAGAACAGATTCCGCCAGTACTCGTCCCATACCGTCTCCACGACAGGTACCTGCCAGCTCCCTGCGGGCCAACCAAACCCGCGCTTCAGACAGTCCAGCGCTCGACTCCAGGCCAGGCGCGAACTGATCACGTCGTGGGTTCTGGCTGTTGACTCCGCGAACCCGGGTTCGGATTCTGGGTAAAAGAAGAGGTGGCATCTGTGGCGCTTTTTGCTTGGGTGGCTGTTGTAGTCGTCCCAGAGGGTGGTGGGTTGGTGGCCGGCAAGATGGACTTGGATGGGAAGGATGGAGAGGGTGTCATAGCAGGAGGCGGTTGAAGAAGAAGTTGTGGAGGGGGGCACAATGCAGGGGTTGGTCGTTGTGTTGGGGCAATCGGCGAGGCTACTATGGGAATCTGTTCCAGAGAGCTGGGGGTAGTAACATACTAGGGCACAGAGGAGAGGGAAAGGGTTGGTAGCTGTTGTTGGGTGGTGGTGAGATGTAAGGAGGAGGTAGGCCGGTTTATTGTATGCTTGGAGTGTTTTGTTAGCTTTTTGGTCATGGATTCAATTAATAGCGAAAAAAAAAAAAAAAAGACAGCATCATAGGATATCTTCGAGGCTTATATACGTACCAACAATCGCATATCTCTCCCCCGGCTCGAGATCGTCCTCTCGCTCGTAAATCAAATTATCCAGGTCTTTCCTGTCTCTCTCAAAATCTCCGCTGGAGCCTTGGAAAGGAATGTATTCGACGGTGAAACCCTCCGCTTCGAATCGCCGGAGAATGTTCGCGTCGAAGTCTGCCGTGTCTGAAGTGACGTACAGTCGGCGCAGAACAGGGTCAGTTTTCTTACGTCTATCGCTGCTGAGGCTAGGAGATTGAGATCCTTGGGGAGGCGCTCTGCTAGGGGTGCTGCTGCGGCGACGACGATGAATATGCTGTCGGAGTCGTTCCATTTTCGGAGTGACTTGGAGTTAGGGTTACAGGTTGGCGTGTGAGTAGTAAGAAGTGACTCTTCCTGCAGTTTACCGCAATACTACAATAATAGCAATTGCGATTCGCAACATTTTTTCAACGTGTAGATACGGGTGGACAACTACTTAAGTTTAACACAAGAAGTAACTAACAGGTCAGGCAACGTCTCTCACCAACGCTGGGCTGACGTCGACGAGTATTGGCAGAGTATTGGCAGTCTCCATCGTGGCTCCAGCCGAACCCAAGGATGCAACGCAAGGGGAACCGATGTTTCCGTTGCCAAGATAGGGCTGATCTGGTTCACATTCAATGTCCATGCATTATTACGCTATGAATATGCGGGTTTCCATGTATGTGGATGTCGAATGTTTGTCTATCCACCACGCCACCAATGCCAGTCTATTCAAAATAATAAAAAAAAAACTATGTACTGATACATCACCCCCTTGTCAAACAAAAAATAGAGCAAGCTCTAAAAACCAGTCAACCATTTTCGTTGCTCCTGCACGGCTTCCGAACAATCCTGTCCAGTAAGGTAGCTGACATATGCCTTTCGCTGGAGACTCTGGCGCGCAACCTCACAGTCAATCCGAATATCTTCAACCAAGGCTTCCAACGACACGTAGTCGTATTCTGGGCGGATGTACCCCAGAATCAAAAGGTTAAGCTTTGTGCCGTAGAAGTCGGGCAATTTGTGGAATTTCACTTGACCAGCCTCACCGTTCGCTGTCGGCGATGGCGATGAGAGAGGAGGCATGATATGGATTTCCTATGATGGTCAGACCCATACCTGATGTCATGTTGGTGAGACTCATGGCAAGGGGTAACATACCACAGATCGAGTGGTGTTCTTGTAGAAGGGATTGTATCCGATACTCAGCACAGCTGGAAGAATCGTCGCCTCCGATGTGAATCTGGACGGATCCAATGCGACTACTCCGTAGTACACCCCGACTTGAAGATCGGGATAGTCTGATAAGCCATCTGGGGGAATATTGGCCGTGGGGATTCCCAGCTGCCTTGATTAGTTTCCTTGGCATTGAAAAGAAGACGTAGCTACCGAGAGGTGGCAATCGGTACAACATAAAATGAAACTACATGAACATACCTCTTTGCTTCCCCGCCCAAACCCTTTGATCACCGGCCCAGATAACTTGATCGGAAACGGAGGCTCTGGGCCACTGTCTAGCCCGGTGACGGGGTCCCTGGGACCGTCTGGACGCATTCTCCGTTTATTAACTTGGAAAACAAGTCTATGGACTAACTCCAGCGTTTGCCTGGCGACGGGCAACAATTGAAAGTGAGCAAAATGGTGGAATGTGGAAGAAGCCCGCAGTATCGATAAGCCGGCGATGCGGGGGGGGTATCGGTTGTGACGGAATCAGTGCATACTGATTGGTGGCAATGGTATTACGACGAGGTACTAGTATCTTCCCTATTTCATGCCTGAGGCTGACTGGCCGACCCAGCAATGTTATCAATCGATGACATCGTTATCGTATCACATTTACTTCCTACATACATACCTCTACCTAAGTATGTGGGACGTTGTACATAATCAATTATTCTCTTGCCTCGCGATCATTTTGTTTCCGATCTCTCTCAAGACATCCTTCCTGATCTTTCCACTCCCCGTCACAGGATACTGGCCGATCGGATCGCCAGGTCCAACTCCCAAAAGACATGAGCCGGGGCGTGAAACAATGGTGGCGGACAACAGACGATATCATCTGAGCTTAGATTCAAACGGGTACCGCACATGCGTCCATTGTTGATGATGCCACTGCTTGGTCAATGAAACCAACCCGCTTCAATATGCCAACTTGGAGACCTTACTAATGGCTAAGCATAGCAGCTTTTGGGACCCCGGCTGTTCCGCTAGTGAACTGGACATAGGCTATATCATGATAATGCACCGAGTGCTGCGCTTGGTGTAAGTCTTGCAGTGACACCGAGTTCCCTAAACGTAGAATATCATCCCAGGTGACTAGCTCAATAGTATCAACATAATTGGTTCGGATCAAGACGGTCTGCTTCAGGCCAGGAACTGGGTGGGTCTGGATATGCTGGATGAGAGGCCTAGTTGATTTGAAGTTCACCATGTCACCTATGAAGAGCAAAGAAGCTTCTGTTTCAATTAACAATGGACCATCATGTTGCCATCAAGCCGAGCCTACCTGTATGTCGGATGGCCCGATCACACTCCACGAATGTGAAAGTCTTATTTAGCACCACCAGAACAGCGCCAATCCGAGTCACAGCAATAACCAACTCGGCAAATCGTTCATCGTCCCCTGAGAAGATCGCAACTCGATCATCCCTGCCGATACCCATGGCAAGAAGCCCTTTAGCGAGATCCTGTGTATGCTGGCTCAAGGCTTGGAAACTAAGTCGGGCACCACTCCACGGCACAATGATGGCATCTTTAGACCCAAATCTCTCAGATTGCTGGTCCATAAGCTCTCTCAACGTGAGATGACGGAGGGGTGGCTCTCGGGGTCCCTGGACCATAGATAAAGAAAGGGGGGCCATCTTTGTAGATCAGGATTACAGATTGACTTCAAGTGCAGTGATAGAGAGCAACTGCGTGATCTAGTCAGGCATTTGAAGCCCCTGTTTAGTAAGGCAGTCAAAGTGCAATTAGTATTATTTTGCTGAACCGTAAAGTAACGCTGTACTGATTGGGTTTGCCAGGGGAATAAATGCTGGCTGCTGATTCACCTTTTGGAACAGCGTACGTGTTTAGGGCGGGAATGGCCAATTTCAATATTATGCTTAATGCATCGGCACCTCTACATTCACTCCTTTGTATCCAGGATGACTTATCTTCCTTGGAGGGTGATAAGACTGTCAGTCTCCTTGTTTCACTATAGATACGCTCTCCGGTAATCAGAGGCTAGGGTCGCGTACTTCGCTTGTTCAAGAATATATCACCCTTGATATGTGCAGCCACATATATACAATAGAAAAATCAGAAACAGAGGAGCCCTATAAACAGCCCCTTGGGAATCATACAAACACTTATGTACCAGTGCCAGGATACAAGGGCATATCAATAAAGTCAAGGGAAGCAACAAGACAACAGAGAACACAACATTTTTTTGATCCTCCCAGAAGTTGGCCGTACATGTGGATTATAGCAACAATGGTACCTTGCATTACCCATAATACAATAAATAAAATCAAATGCATGGCAAAAACTATTGATGGGTCAGTATCCTCCTATTAAGGGAAACAGAAAAAATGGTTGCTCACATTCATCACAATAAGCATAGGGATGTCAAATACGTCTCGTTTTACTGTCCAGCAGTATGCGCATTCAACTTTGCCGTCTTTAAAGCCCAGCTGATTCATTCCCGCCTCACTGGCGATCCCTCCTTTGCGCAGATGACTGTTCCACCGCTGATTGTCATCCGACTGATTCTCCATGTCCTCCTTCGTTTTGTATTTCAACAGTTTGCATGTCGTCATGACACTACCACGTGAGTCCCCAAAGGCGAGTCGGGCAAAATCATCGTAGAATTCCACCACACTGTCGTCATCAAGCAGCTCAGCCAAGAACACTGGTTGCGGGCGACCAGGAGTGCTTTCCGCTATGGAGCCCCGTGGAGTAAAGCTCCGTGACGATGTTCCCGAGCCCGGAACAGAGCCACCTGTATTGACATTCAGGTTGGGCTCCTTACCTAGGAGGACGTCTTTCTTCCACCCGGTAAGAATACTGAATTCCTTTCCTACAGCCGCAATTTCCCCCGTACGTCGACAAACGATGGTCGGGGTTCCACAGGCATTGATAAAGTCTTCATATTCGAACAAGGTTCGCTGGAAACATTTCTCCATGAATATCAGGTCGTCCCGGTTCAGAGTCTTGGTCGTCGCAATGAAAGACGGGCGGATCGACGCCAGTGCCTTGGCGATCTGCAAAGTCTTCTGTGGCGAAAAGCGTCGCTGGATGAACGCGGTCAGATTATGGAAACGATTGGTGTAGGCATACGGCTCCTTCACGTTCTCATATATGGATGAGGGGTTCCGTTGGCGTCGTCTAACCCCAACCTGTAAGTTTTGGTGCTTTAAACTCGGTGTCGTGATCGTAGGTCGTGGTCCGTTTGCCGAGAGGCCATTTGGCTTTGCTGTCACAGCACTGCTGAACGTAGCGTCGTCAAAGCCTGTCGTCATTTGAGGACTGGTCGTTGCATTGGGGCTAGCAAAGCCTCCAGGGCCGCTTTCGATCGCAAACGCATGTGGTGCATCTGCTTTAGTCAAGTGTCCCGGTATTACACTTCCTTGGCCGGACTGTGGGTAAACGCCTCCAACATTTACATGAGTTTGGCCCGTGGGTTGTCCGCTGGACCATTCATTCAGAAGAGGATCGCCAAAAATGAACGGCTGTTGACCTCCAGGGCTCTCGCCAAAAGTTGCAGTGCCGGTGATCGGCGTGCCGGCGAATTGAGCCGAGCCACTACGTCCCATCGAGCCTCGCTGGGTAGCGGAATCACTGGGTGAGTCACCAGCCCCAGTAGCCATATGTCCAAGCATGCCAAACTCCAACGCACCATAACGGTTCTCAAAGTTCATACTGGACAGGTCAAAGTTAAAGAGGGCCGGGTCACTGGGGTCAAAGAAGGGCCCGGCAAATGGATTTTGGCTTGGATTGGCCGTGCCGGACACGCCGGTGCTGGGCGGCTGCTGACCAACTTGTGATGAAAGGCTGTTGTTTCGAGCGGCTGGGTTAGTTTTCAGGGTAAAGGTCGGCGAAACAGGGGACTGCGAGGTGAAAGAATTTTGGTTCATAGTATTTTCCTGATAGACACTATAGGAGTTCGACTGCGGCGTGGGGTAGAAATTGGGACTGGAATTCGGCTGGGTAGTGGCATTAACTGCATTGGCGCCATTTCTAGACAAGGGCAAGTTATTCCGCATCGTGTTATTATAGAAATTCCCGCCGATTCCAGGCATCAACGCTCCATCTGGCGCATCATGAAGATATTTGGCTTTTTTGCGAACCCCATCGTGACACGCATCTTGGAGGCCACGTTTGATACACCGTTGACACGGCCTTTCGTCACCTATGCGCAACTCAGTATTAGTAATTGACTCGGCCCTCAAAATAATCACATGCAGGAATACATGGGCCTCTGTGCCGCGCATGAGAGCTACGGCACATGGGAGGAAAATAGGAGAGGGAAGAAAACCATGCGACCAAAACTAAAAAGAGGGTCAGTCTAGCGTACCGCAAGTCAGATGCGCCCGTTGACAAGCAAAGCAAGCCCTCCGTGCTTTCTTCCGTCGCGGTCTTGATGGATCCTTCGGGTTTGGTTTCTGGCCAGTTTCCACAGGCGCATTTCCATCGCCATTGCTCTTGCTCTTGGACTGCTCTGACTGTTCCCCGACGCCTCCGGCCTCCAGTTCGGGCCCTCTGCGATCGGCTGGGGGCGCCGAGGTGCTATCCTGTACATCCACCGTCATTGTGACATTAAATATCGAAGGTAAATTGTTCGACCCTTAAAACCTAGTGCGCGTGCTATTCCGCGGTGTAGCCGATGACGGAAGGGTTGAAAGCTGAAGCGACAACCACCGCTTGCCACACCTATGCTATTCTAAAGAAAACCGCGTCGTCGCGCCGCGAGCCAGCGCGCCGGTAAGTATCCAGATTGCCGGCTCAGTATTAATGAAAGTTGTTCCTAGTCCGGGAGTAATAGAAAAGCCCTTTCTTTGGCGATCTGGGCGCATAGATCCTCGGTCTAACGGTTCGTAGAGGCTCGAGAGAAACGGGGCGACGGCGGACCGGTAACTGGGAGCGGAGGACCTTGCGTGCTCGGTTATTGTGGATCAGAAAGCAACTCTGAAGTTTTCCACTAATCAACCCGGATCGATAATTAGACAATGAGTCCACGATACGATCTGGTTTGAATTCCCCCTTTTTCGCTTGTACAAATATTACAAGCAATCAAGCGTTTAAGTCTTTTTAATTGCGGTAGCGCGGGTGGAGCGAAGGGTTTCTCGGGGCTGCGGGGGGAAGCTCCAGAGCGTCGCCGAGATAAGATTCCGGGGGGGGTTGTTAATGAAAGAAACAATGCGGGAAATGGCTTGAGATAAGTGGCGTATTAAAATGACAAAAGACAAGGAGGGGAGAGTTCAACGGTGAGGGGAGAGAGAAAGATGCAAAGATGTTAAGTCTGTGGAAACGCGGGGAAAGATAGACTGTTAGTAAGGCTAACTTAAGTAGTGGTCGAAAATTGAAAGGGAAAAAATTCAAAATAAAGATAAAAAAAAAGGATGGACAGGAACTTCTACTTAGTAAAAAAGAAGAGGGAAAAAAAATAGAAAAATAAAAAAAAATAAAAAAATAAAAAAAAAGAATAGGCGGAAAAGCCACCAACACGAGCAGGCAAAGAGTCGCGTGTCCAGTCTGGACAAATCGAAGACACGGCGTGTTTCCCTGGTTGAGTCTTTTTTAGATGTCGAAAATAACTCCAATCTACAATCATCAGAGGAAGAACCATCACCCTTCGTTGAGTTCCTTTGACGATCTGAATTAACTCCCCGCGCGAGGTTTCGTTTGATTTTCCATGGTCTGTTTTCAACCTTCCTTACAACGGAAAAGAGAAGACGAGGGGAAAAAATAATAATTTTAAATTGGTAATTTTGGCGTCGGCTTACAGGAATAAATAGGTAAGAGTTTTCAGCCTTGCAAAACGAGGAAAAGGAAATGAGAGTCAGAAAGAGGAGCCTAATGATTGTTTTTATCATTCATCAACGTATTCTACTAGTCTACTACTAGTCGTAGTATCTGCCATGCATATATGCAGAACTTAGCAGGATCGACACTGAAGGAGGTATACAATGACAGCTTCTTTGCCTTGAAGATCTCTCACATGATAATAGGTTGAACCTGTATATCTAGAAGAAGCTCGTGAAAATAATGAAAACGTTAATACCAGCTATCGGTAATTGCGCGGTATTTAGAGATCCCACGTGTTGGTAGTGTTAATTACCGAGTACTAGCCCATACATCTTGTTTCTCCTCTAGTCCGAACTATTACTATGGACATACCACTAAACTATGGCGAATTCACACAAAAGCCCCATCATCGTAAGGCAACGACTAATTTTAACCTAATCAGGTAGCCAAAAGCCCTCACAAGGATTGCCAGCCAACAGAATGGGCTGAATACTTTCAATATGAGCCATTTTTACCTACATCCCCGGGTCTTTCCGGCATGCTCCCCTACTCATTCGTCCGCCTTTCTCCGACCATCCAGCGCCATGTCAAATCCAGTATTTGCCTCGGTTCCTGGGTAACCCTAAAGTGCCTACTTCGGAGTACTTCTCCTAGGCAAGTAGCAATGCCTCGACCGATCAATTCGGTGAGAATGGTTGACAGCTGAAATAACTTGGTCCTCTCGTGGTGATCTGCCATGTCCTACGCCCATTGTAGGCCTCGTGCTGTCCTCGTGTCCCGTTACCATTTGATTGGATTGTCACCATCCGGCCTACTTTGACCCAGGGTGTGGCTGATTCTCAACTGTAATGTAAGGATGGCACTGGCTCTTGGAGGGTTCAAGGGGGTTCATTTGCCCTACCTAGCAAGCTGGACATCCCGTCATATGTTTTTTGGTCGGCCTGCACTCGTTCCCGTCATATGAACTGTAAGGGATTGCAGGGGTATGTTTTACCCCTGTGAAGTGGCCGTACCGGGTTTAATCAACGAGCACGAGGCTTCTATCTATACTTTATAAAACCACCATCTATTACATTTGCGTATGCGCGTACACAATGTACGTACGTACGTACGTATGTATGTACATACACACATACATGTACATGCTTTAAGTCCATTGCCCATCTAAGCAATAGTCGTCCCACTTCCCGCTGTACTATAAGCAAGCCAATTAACCAAATTCTTACCATATTAGTACGGGCCCTAGGGCCTCGGGAGCCAGGGTAAATGAACTCATCCCGAGGCCGATATAAGAGAGTCAGATCCTTCATCCGGACCGAGAAGAAGTGGATATCATATCTATCGGGCAGCAAATCGGCTCTTTTGCCGAATGCGACTACCGTACCGGAAAAAGATATACCTGCCGTCCCAATTACCGTTAGCTCTCAATTAACCATTGCTTGATCTGATCTACAGCTGCATCAAACTGCTCATGGAGCCAGGTGCTGGCAGGAAATTTGCCTAGAGGTCAAGAGAAACCCCTAACACCAAGGACGCCGAATACATTACACCATTGTAGCTGCAGCGTTGGTCTGCAAGGAAGGGCTACCAACTCCAAGCTATATAGCAGGCAACGCGGTGTAGGCAAGCAATGAATTTGATGGCGAAAGGTGAAACATGATTGCTTGGGGGACTTACGGAAATGGCGCCATAAAAAGCGTCAGAAAAGCGAGCAGCGAAGAGGCCCAGTGGTATCCCAGATTGTTGTACACTAAGTCCATTGGTCAGTACCTGGGTCTGAAGTCGGTACGCCTAACAATAGTAGCAATGCAGGAAGCTTGGTGACACTGATGACAGTCTGGTCACTCAAAACGAGCTAAATCATATAGTGGAGGAGGGTGTGATCAGGTTATAGTGCTTCTGATCCATTTTTTCCTGGGCCCATTGGTGTGTAGTAACGAACAGACAGAAAGGTCATGTAACATTATATGAAAAAAGAAGAGGAGGGGGAGGAAGAAGAAGAAAGAAAGAAAGAAAAAAAGGCCACTTACTTTGGATTCCAAAAAGGGGAAAGACACCGCCGAACGTTGAGCGAGCGAAGCTGTTCGCTGCTAGGGAACTTGCAGCAAAGACTGGATACGCATCAACCAAGAACGTAAAGATACCTGAGTATACAAGAATGGTCCTATCCAGGACAGAATTCATCAGCGTCAATGATCTACGTGGCCAGGTTTGCAGCAGGAATCAAAACTTCAGGGAAGTTATATTGCCGGCCTTGTGTTCAAACTCACCCGGCTCCAAAGAATGCACTGCCAATTATGGGTACAATCCAATGCACATAAGGATAAATTGTCCAAGCAAATATAAATAATCCTATGGTGACAAGAGGGCCACCAAGAATCGCTGCACCGTGTGATTAGCAGTTCTGGTTTACCTGAAAGGTACTGGGAAAGAGCATACGCACCTGGAGGTAGACGCCACTCTGGTTGAAAGTCTTCTATTGTTCCCTCCGTGCTCTTGTGATTCTCTTCCAAGCGTTGGTAGACGCGACGCCAGAAGGGATCAGATACAATAGCAAAAACCATTCCCACAAAAAGGCCGAGGAAGCAAAGACCGCGCTGCCACAGTTCAAGGCCATACACGTTGCCAAATACCAGCTGGAAGGCACCAAAAAATAGGTATATTATACCCAGCAAAATGGCTGAGAACACACAGAGGCACAAGCACATAGGTTCCAGTGTCAGGAGAAGAACTGGCCTGTAGATCGAGCGTAAGACAGTTCGTGCCACCGAGCGATTTAATCTTTCTATCGGTGCTTTCCATCGATCATCCCCTGTCTCTTTGCGAAGTTTCTCTGCCTTTTGCCGCAGAATGCTAGTGGGACTAGTGTTATGAAACGAGTTTCTAGAGAGTAAGCTTTGGCAATTTCACTTACACGGGGTGATAAGTTTCCGGGACGAAGAAAACAATTGAAATCAGCAATACGCCTGTCCAGATAAGAAGCACATAGAACGTCCAGCGCCTGAGAACAAGTCGTACAAGTGTCAGCCACAATTATCTCCAAATAGACAGCTAGGTAGATATACCATGTAGTGAACTGATTTATGAACCCACCAACCCTGAGGCTTGTCAATCATCGCAACGCAAACCCAACTGACAACTGTTCAGCAATTGGGGCTAGTAGCAAAACTCACAATGGTCCTACTTCAGGTCCAACAAAAGGCGATGCCGTGTACAGCATCATAGGCGCGCTCAGTTCATGGCGAGCAAATAAATCTCCTACCGTTCCACCTGCAACGCTGAGAAAGGCGCTCCCAGCGATACCATTAAAAAAGCGGCATACGAGCATGGTCTCAATATTCTCAGCCACAGCGCAAGGAATGAGCCAGATCAAGAATAAAGTGAATGAGGTAATATATATATATCTTCGGCCATAAAACTAAGGAGCATTAGCTAGGGTGATGAAGTTTAGTGTTGGGTATGCAGACCTCTGATAGGGGTCCCAGAAAAAGCGGGCCAATACCTGGGATGAGTAGAGGTCAGAAACTAGACATAAAAGCCAAGCAAATTCCTGACGGCTGGGACCTACCAAGGCCCCATATAAAGAGCGATAACCCGAGCGTTGCGACCAACCGAGAACAATTGAATTCCTCTGTTATCTGGTCGTAGGTAGCGGTATACATTGACGAGGTGCAAGTCCTTTCGACAAGGCATCAGCACAACGCAAGCAACGATACAGTAGTCACTCACTACTCACACGCAAAGAGAGCCCAGCGAGCAAATGATAACAATCAACCACCGCCTCATGGTATTGAAGTTCCGAGGGTTCATCGGGTCATCCTCGTCCCAGCTAACAATAAAGGTAGATGATTCATCTGCCTCGCCCCCGTCATCGCCAAGAGCAGTTTCTGCAGTTTCTTCATCCGCGGTATGGCAGCTGTATCCATCATTCAAAGACCAGCTACGTTCGATGGGACGTGAGTTGGTGGAGTGCAACTTCTGCATCCGCTCTTCGTTGGCTGGTGGGGTTTGGATTGGCGCAAATGTGCCGTCCATATGTTCATCGGATCTCACCTTCTCCAATTCATCTGCCTCGTTCCCTTCGTCACTTGTAGAGCGCCTGGTTGAATCCACATCGGTACTCTGCACTTGCCTGAGGGGCGATACCACCCGCTGTGACGCAGTCATGATCGAGTAGTGAGGTAGAGCCCTACTCTCATGTAGTTTTTCGCTAATGCTATCGGAGATTTTGAAAATATGAAAACTACGTCTCTCGACTGTGTAACAAAATGATAGCCCCAAATACTAAAGTAACTCAACGACGATTGCTTGAAATAAATGAATGCCGGCAAGAATCACCCCAGTGAGGGCAAAGCCGAGTCACACCCTAAGCAGTACTTGCTCTTAGAGATCTCTGGGGAAATTGACCGAAAAATGGGGATTCGGAGAGGGTTTCAATAAATATTCAGTGTCTGATAAACGAACAAGATAAAGCCTGCAAAGTAAAGTAATTATTAGTCACATTTGGGAGGATTGTACTAACTAACTACATAAACCGGTTAGTCTAGTTCTTGCTGATCAATCTGGATTGAATCTTGAATAACTACTGGCACTAGTCTAGTCAGTCGGCTTTTCCTCTGCCGATTGCCACAGCATTATCAGTGGAGACATATCACAGCTATGATACGTATATCCTTGTTCGTTGCAGCAAGTGGTAAATCGTATGTATGAATCGTTAAACGGTAACTCTCGCACCTAATTTTCTCTTTTCATTTCATTTCCACGTCAGTCACCTGGTTCTATCTCACCGTGTTCACCCAGGACGTTGGAGATCATTTAAGTTTTGATAGCGAACTACGAAGTACATCGAGTATGGAAAATTCCCCGAGCCACACGTGTCCCATCCCCACGTGAACACACCTGCTACAAGTATCGTAATGGATCATACAAAGTCCAATTGCTCGCTTCTATACCTAAACCTATGTGAAGAAAGACATTAGAAAACTCTTTTTAAGTATCGCCCCTAGAAGCTCGCCCACAACAATAAGGAAAATACCAACTTTCCAGCTTTGGAACGAGGATCCAAACAGTCATTCAATAGCTACCTTTTCAATCCGAACAGACAACTCCATGACACCAGTGTTTCATTACATGAATAATTTCCCGCACCCAGATAACAAGCCCTCAAGGGAACCCCGGCCGAAAAAAAAAAAAAGAATAAGAGTGAGCAGAAAAGAGAAGAGGATAGAAGCAACAACGAGTAAGAATCGGCCACTCGAGCAAAACGTCCTGTACAGATACACACCTGACACCTCCATAGGTCCTGATCTCTGAAGTTGGCGCACCGCGCTAAACTACCACCTGGGAAGGTTGAGTGCCTACTTCCCCATTGGCGCTCTCTTCAGCCCACGAACCCCAGAGAGCACGCTTGCCACGGATTTTGAGAGGGCCACCAACGGTATCGGGGCGTTGTTCAACCTGGACGGCGTCCTTTGTGGCCAAAACCAAAACCTCAAAAAACATCTTCGTCGCATCCGCCTTGGATGTCTTGCGTTCAGGTAGAAGATCCTGGAACTTCACGCTCTTCTTCTGTTCCACTGCAGATTCACCGAGACAGTCGCGGAGAATGTGAACAGCATGCTTGGTACCAACGGAGACAGGGCCACTGTCCGCAGGTTGGATAGTGTCATCGAGCTCTTCCAGGGGATGATTCATTCCCTCATCGTCGCTCATACGCAAACCTTGATCGTCATCGTCGCCGGGAAATTCGATATCAGACCGCTGATGAAGCGTTGAGTCAAGACCAACACCTTCATCGATCGGTACGATGGCATCTTCTTCGCCAAATTCCAAAGCAGGGGCAGTAGCTGCCTCGATTTCCATGTCTGCAATTCCGCTATCACGCTTCCTCTTGAGCTCACCAGCCTTCTTAATAGCATCGAAGGAGAGCAAGTCACGAAGTTCTGGAGCCCACCCACGTCCGCGACCTCCTCCTAGCACATTCGTCACAAAGTCACCATTCTTTTGCATGTCCATGAGAGTGAGCAAAACAGGATCACGGGGTAAGAAGGACGTCGGCTTCAGGATAGTGGAGCGATCCGCTTGCAAACCCTTTATAATATGGGCCTTGTAGTCAGTTTCCTTATCGAGCTCCACGGTCATAACTTTCCGTCGCTTCGTGCGCTGCGAGTGCTGGACAGTCATATCATCCTCTGCCTCTCCCTCTACCTCGTCCTGATCTTCACCTTGCTCTTGCTGGAGTCTTTCCATGTCTGCGTCTGGCATCTCTGAGAGAACGCTCATTGAGTCGCGATCGAGCCTGCGCTCTTCGGCTTCGAATGCCAGGTCTCCGTCATCACCAATATCCATGGCTGTATCGTCCGCCTGCAGAAGAGTGTCTTGTGGGCCCTCGTTGGCCAGGTCCATCTTGTCCAGGGGGTAATCATCTTCGCCAAGGTCCAGAGGCAGGTCAACATCGTTGAACTTGCCAGCATCGCTAAAAAGATCCTCTTCGACGGGACGAGGTGCGGGCGCATCTCGACCAACTTCCATACTAAAGTCATGCCCCAAGGGCGTATCATCCTCTCCCAAGTCAAGGTCAACCAAAGTATGGTCTTCAAGGCGCGCGGGCTCTTGTGACACAGAGCGCCGAAGACTACTGTCTGGGAAGAGCTGGCTTCCAAAGTCCATCGATGTTCCTGGGCGCTTCCCCTCCGGCTCAAAACTGAGCGGCTGGGGTAAGAGCAAAGAAGAATCCAGGTTCATGAAAAGGTCCGACTCTGTAAGCACATCTGGCAAAGTAATACCTCCTGGGGCAACAACAGTGGTTGTCAAGTCATTGTTATTAGTCAAGCGGAAAGCCTAGGAATTGTTTCTTTAGTGTCATTTGTGAAAACAGTATCATTTGCCCGAACATACCATTTTGATTTTCATGAGAGCCTCATTGCAGTCATCCAATAGGTAGCGTGCCTTTCGGCTATAGATCCGGACCACACCTAACAACAACTGACCGCTCAACCGCAAAGCCATTGGAGCTTGTCCTTGGTCGACAATAGCACTGACACTGCTCTCGATATCCGACTGTAGAATGTGCGATTTGGAAAGCTTGCGCTCCAAGTTAGCCGATAACCAAACACGGGCCAGCGGCCCGGTTTTTGACAGAAGGGTCTCCGAATAGAACATGGCGTCACGAAGTTGTGTATCAAGCGATATTAGAAATGGTTATTCCAAGGGGTATAAGCCCGCCTAACGCGGGGTGGTTTGCGAGAAGTCCCTGGCAACCCAAATGCGATGACGCGCTGTATCCAGAAAACAAAAAGATCGGCAACTGATGCTTCCTCCCCTTAAGGCCTAAAGGGGTTATAAACCCGGAGACGGCAAGATAGATACTATATCTGACGAGAAAAATTATCGCTGTGTAAAGAAATCCACCAAGTCCGAAGGTTAAAGAGGGGTGCAGGAAAGGAGGGGTGGTTGGGTGGATTGCGATGACTCTGGTGTGGTTTTCGCAATGGAAGGGAAACAAGAGAAAGAGAGGAAGGGCGCGTCTAGCGGGCGGGTTGATGGGCAGCCTCCACTGGCAACGGGTTGCGGCGGGCAGCACTGGGATAATGGGCAATGCTGATTGGGCATTTAGTTGCGTGGTTGGGGTCACGTGGTATTAGGTCACTCTCTGGTTACAGAAGTTAATATTGTCAATACGGCCCCAGGGCTATCTATTTACTGTGTATAGTATATTAGGGCCTGATTGACAATCAATCAGCCTCGCCTTAACTCCTGAAGGTTCCTCCATCAGTAAAAGGAATAAAAGAAGTATATATATAGCCTCGAAAGGCTTCAACAAAAAAAATACTCCCCGACTGGGAGTCGAACCCAGGTCTCCCGCGCTTGTTCCTCGTATAGGATGACAAGCGGAAATCATGACCGTTAGACCATCGAGGAATTATTGACTGAGTTCCATACCAAGCAATTTATATTTTATTTTACAAAGCCGCTCCTAACCAGGTGGAGCTTACTCATATCATGGGAGCGATGAACAAAAGCAGTATATTCCTGGCATGAACAATGATGACTAGTCCTGTCTCCCCTTCAATACCTGAAGGACCGCGTGGAATCCACAGATTTAGGGTGATCGAGTCACCTGCAGTATCGTCCAAAGAATTTACGTGTGGGCGACTGTGGAGGTAGGCGCATAGCATACTAGGTAGTACTCCGTACATAGGCTATAGTGCACCCACACTAAAGCGCGTGACCGCCAAGAGTAACCCCTTCGCTAGGAACAATGACAAGCGTCTGCATACAATATGTTTTCTCCATAATTAAGAACGACAGTTGGTTTTTAATTCAACATCCAAACATTGATCGACGCGGCTCTCCCTAAGAGCGTCGTCTTTGGTGGGACCTGGAGGTCTAGCCTTGTCTCTTCTTGAACCAGCTGCACGGCCCTTGTCTGGTTTCCACTTAGTCCCCCCATATTATTCGATACACCTGCGGCCGAAATCGCGTCTGAGAACGTGGCTTCTACGTAATTTTTTTCCTCTTTGCCATCGCAAAATCTTGTCCACCTCGACATTCTCCTTGATCCCGACGGGATGATAACCATTGTGAGCCCCATCTAGCAGGACGTCTTTGGACAGAAAAAGTATGAGAGATGTCAAGGTCCGCAACGCCTGCGCTACCTTTGCATAATGCTCAGGCCCCCGACTTGAGGCCTCCGTCATATACTCCGACAGGTGTACCCTCCAACACGTCTACTTCAGTAAGTCTCGCTGTAAGGCAGATCTAGCTGATATGCGCCGCGCTCGCGCTTTCGATTGGCTTCCTTTGGACATCCAGCCGCTAACTTTCAGTTCATTAACTAGACATCCACGTCGACTTACTCTCTATTAGACCCACAGGAAACAGCTGAGCGCTTACAGACATCCCTTACCCACGGACTCACTCCTGCAGAAGCTGAGATTCGTTTAATACAAAATGGGCCCAACGAACTGCCGCACGAAGACCCCGAGCCTCTGTGGCTCCGGTTTCTTAAACAATTCCGGGAGACATTAATTCTACTGCTTCTGGCGTCAGCGGCAGTCTCTTTTTTTATGGGCAATCTTGATGATGCGGTAAGCATCACTCTCGCGGTAACCATCGTTGTTACCGTCGGATTTATTCAGGAGTATCGATCGGAAAAATCCTTGGAGGCCTTGAGCCGCCTGGTGCCACATCATGCGCATTTAATACGCGACGTTCCTCTCTCAAGTACCCCTCCTATCGGAAGCTCGATCCCTACAGCTACCAGTGGAGAGTTCGAGCTGCAAGATCTCCGAAGCAAGAGCCCGGGCTCAGTTTCTGCCGCTGTCAAGGCTTCCACTACTGTTCCGGCGAATGAGCTAGTACCTGGTGACCTAGTTTTATTTACAGTTGGAGACCGTATTCCGGCGGATATACGCATTACTGCAGCCACTGATTTGACCATTGATGAATCAAACCTGACTGGTGAGAATGAGCCGGTTGCTAAATCGCCAGACGCAATTCGCGGCCCGAAGGCTCTGGCGAGACACTCGCCCAAGATTGTCACTCCCCCCCGATCTCCATTCTACGACGCCCCAGCCAGTGGCGCTGTAGGCGCTGATATCCGCTTGAATGAGCAGCACAACATTGCATTTATGGGAACTTTGGTTCGGTCGGGGTATGGACAGGGTATTGTGATAGGAACAGGTGCGAAGACTGAATTTGGCAGTATTTCAGCCTCTTTGCAGGAGATCGAGAGCCCACGCACACCGCTTCAATTGTCGATGGACCGTCTTGGTCAAGAATTAAGCTATATCTCCTTTGGTGTCATTGGGTTGATTGTAGTCATAGGATTGATACAAGGCCGAAAGCTTCTTGATATGTTCACCATTGGTGTCTCGCTTGCAGTCGCTGCGATTCCAGAGGGTCTTCCTATTATCGTGACAGTTACTCTTGCTTTAGGCGTGCTGCGCATGGCCAAGAGGGGGGCTATCATGCGAAGACTCCCCAGCGTCGAGACTCTCGGCTCTGTGAATGTTGTATGCAGTGATAAGACGGGGACACTAACGCTCAACCATATGACAGTCACAAAGATGTGGCATTTTGACTGCCCGGAGCCATTCGAGGTGCACAACGATATAAGTTCACTAACGCCTGGGCCTGCAGCTCGGACCGTTCTTCGTGTTGGTAATATCGCTAATAACGCTAGACTCTCGCGCGTGCATGCAAATTCACCTGCCAGCGCATCTTCTGCTGCAGTGTTGTCTTCCACCGATGATAGGGCTCCGGGAACCATTAGGAGTAGGTGGGTTGGCCAGCCAACCGACGTTGCCATCCTGGATTTGTTGGACACGTTCGGGGAGGATGATGTGCGCGACCGCATCAGCGCCCGCATCGCCGAGACTCCCTTCAGCTCTGAGCGCAAATGGATGGGTGTAATTATTGGCACTGGCACTGGCGAGTCAAGTAATATGGCATACATTAAAGGTGCTCTTGAGCAAGTTTTGAAGCGTTGTGATACGTATCTTACAAAGGATGGACGCGAAGTTATACTGGATGAGCCGCGACGTCAAACAGTGAGGCACGCTGCTGAGCATATGGCATCAGAGGGTCTCAGGGTGCTCGCTTTCGCCAGTGGAGCAGTGCGAGATACATCAAAAGGGCGACCTTTTGGCAGCAGGACAGGCACTCCTGTTTCTAGAGCTACCCCGGGTGAAGATGATGACCGATATACCGGGCTGGTCTTTGCAGGACTTGTGGGGATGAACGACCCTCCCCGTAAGGATGTTCACAAATCTATCAGGCGCCTTATGGCTGGAGGAGTTCGCATCATCATGATCACAGGAGACGCTGAGACCACGGCAGTTGCGATTGCAAAGAAACTAGGAATGCCAATCAATGATATAGCCGGTTCGCGACCTGTCATGACTGGTGAGGAGATCGACCGCATGAGCACCGCGGAGTTGGCGCAGGCCATATCGTCTACTTCCATTTTCGCTCGTACAAGCCCTGACCACAAGATGAAGATTGTACGTGCCTTGCAATCCCGAGGAGATGTGGTGGCCATGACGGGTGATGGCGTGAATGATGCACCAGCCCTCAAGAAAGCAGATATCGGTATCTCGATGGGTAAATTGGGCACGGACGTTGCCAAGGAGGCAGCAGATATGATCTTGACGGACGATGACTTCTCCACGATCCTGCGAGCCATTGAACAGGGCAAAGGGATCTTTTACAATATCCAGAACTTCATTACATTCCAGCTAAGCACCAGCGTTGCTGCATTGAGTCTTGTATTGTTAAGCACTACTCTTGGCTTCAAGAATCCGCTGAATCCGATGCAGATCCTATGGATCAGTAAGTTAATGTCATGTGCGAGCACTTGGCAGCTGATAGCTGACATTCATCAACAGATATTCTTATGGACGGCCCTCCTGCGCAGTCCTTGGGTGTAGAGCCCGTTGATCCGTCAATCATGGGACGACCCCCACGACCCAGAACAGCCCGGGTACTCACGAAGCCTCTCATTCAACGGGTGCTAACTTCCGCATTGATGATTATGCTGGGCACGCTTGCCATTTACGTCTACGAAATGGGCGATGTCGATGACGAGCTGAACCCAGGCAAACGCTCCCGCGTTGTAACGGCCCACGACACAACCATGACTTTCACCTGCTTTGTGCTCTTTGACATGTTCAACGCCTTGACTTGCCGCAGCGAGGGGAAGTCGGTGCTTCGTGGCGAGATCTCCCTGTTCGGGAACAGGATGTTCAATTATGCCGTACTCGGATCACTTGCCGGACAGGCCTGTGTGATTTATCTGCCTTTCCTGCAGCGAGTCTTTCAGACGGAGCCGCTCAATCTGGCGCATTTGTTCAAGCTATTGTGTATTTCGAGTTCGGTGTTTTGGGTAGACGAGGCCCGGAAATATTACCAATCGGTGAAGCGGCGGCAGGCTGTTGGGGTGGGATACAGCGTAAATGTTTAAGGCCGGGTTGATATACGCTTTCCACTAGTTGTCATAGAGGGCGCATCATAGAGAATTAGTATTCTTGGGAGACACCTGAAAAGTGCGTATGTTGTGCGGAGTAACATTGTTTTGGTCAACGGGTTTGATAGAGAGAGGAAGGGGAGGGATACAAGTTACAGGGGAGGTTAAATAAATATGTACAGTTAAAAAAAAAATCTGTACTAAAATAAAATAGAAACTGACCGACGCAGGGATCGAACCTGCAATCTCTTGATTCGTAGTCAAGCGCCTTGCCATTGGGCCAGCCGGCCAACTGGTAAGGTTATCATGTTCTTTATAATACATAGGGCAAATAGATTTCTCAGTGGTAAACGCCCTCTTTTCTCGGTAGCCCATGGTCACATTCAAAAACCATCATCAATGTTTTGGCCGGAAGAAGAACACTGTATGTATAAAATAGTAACTAGTATCTTGGAGTCTACAACTGGGTGTATTATGAGCTCTTAATCCCATCGTGTTGCGCATTGTACCCCCACCTTGCACAGTCATCCTGCGGTGTATATATATATATTCCCAGTGAGTGTGAGTACGCTGGTAGGGTCGACGATGCAAGACAACGCATAAGGTATATATAATGGACCCCACACCCGAGTCTCAGACAATGGATAACGATAAATTTTAAATCTAGACATGCTAAGATGAAAGCTTCCACGGAGCCCCCTGCCCTGTCACACGGGCACTACAATAGACAGTTAGGGTCCAACTAGTGCATATATCCCTCAGGTAGCGCTTCCCCAGTCGCATTGCAACTTCAGCATACGGGCCATGCAAGGAGTGGAACATGGGAGCTAGTCAGTAGCGATCTCTAGTTCCCACGGGCATCCATAGGGTAAATCAGTGACCACGGGTGAAACACAGGTGCATCATATCGAGACATCATAGTGGGATACACCAAGCCTAGCCTGCAGGAAGGGTAATGAGCAGCTGACACAAGTAGTAGTATGGAATGACTATGACATTGCCTGCTCTGATCACATGCATGTAATATATGTAGTCCACATAGTGTAGCCCCACCGTTCTCAACTATTGCCTGGCCTGTTGACCCCCATGGGGTACATATGATCTTCAAGTGATAACTATCCGAAGACGGGCCCCGGTAGTACGAATTTTAAGCGTTGAAAAGAGACTCATGAGCGAGTTTGTGAGAACGATGGGCGGATAGGGTGTTTGGTTTGGCCGTTAGTCACTGGAAAATGGAGTAGTGCTAATAATTTAAGCTACCCAGATAGTGGGAAAGCTAAGGCTAGCTGGCCGGAGCCCACAGGGTAACGGACCTATCACTGGATTTAGATTGAGCCGGGAGGCTGAACCCCACACACACAAGCAAACGCGCCGCAATATTGGTATTTGTTACTGCCACGAAGGGGAGGAGCGGATTAGACCTTAGGAATACACCAAATATGTACTCTATATACATTCCATCTCTCCATCATATGGGGACAAATCTCTTCAATAAAAGACTTGCAGACCAGACATAAACAGAAAGTTAGCCAAGAAGCTCTACAAAGTACTACTACCTAGTAAGGAATAATCCGAGCCTGCTCAGTGGGGGACTTTTTACTCCGTACCCCGAGGACCATGGAGGAGGCGCCTCTAATATCTCCTCCTCACAGCCAAGCCCCAGCTAGATAACAATTCCTCCGGAGGTTCTTATCGGTTCGGGATGGTACTCTTAGTCGGCGAAGCATCGCTCCTGAAATTCCCGAGTGAATTCGGGTGATTGAGGGAGCCTGTCGAGGAACCGACCGAGCGGTCATTGGCCGAAAGTGGACGTTATCAGTACGATGGAGACTGAAGAGCCAAGACTAGGCCGGAACCGGATGCAGAGGCCCCACATGGCGGGAGGGTGGCGTCCAGGACCTTATCGGGACCTCATAGCCAATCATTCGGGAGATAACTATGAGTTGAGAGAAACGGGGATGATAAGGGCCACTGCATTTTTTTTTATTTGTCTTTCCTTAGGCTCCGCTCATCACTGGCGGATGGATCCCTTCGTCAGATACCAACCAGAGGATTGGGCGTCAAGGCATTCCAGGACGAATGCCCGATATAACCCAGACCCTTAAAGGCCTGGACGTTATCAGTGATAACTGGAGGTACGGAGAAAGACAGAATCGGATAGATAGATATATGCAGCATTTCGTAGTGTATAGAACATCTGGTCTACAAGTATAAATAAACCACCCAGAGCCCATTCATTCTCTGAGTAGGAGCTTGCTCCGCCTCTCTCCGGAGCGTTCAGCTCCGTATCGCTTGGTTTCATCTCAGCATCATCACATCTCCCTCGCAATGCCTATTTCGGTCTCGGCCAAACTCTATAGAGAACCAATGCCAAGTCCCCCGATAGAGACTCACTGAGATGTTTAGGCTGAAGAGGGGGCCTCCATTGATCAGGAGATGCGGTTCATCTTGGATGTGATATGAACTGTGGATCATGATAAAAGAAGTTGTCAGCGACCCTGACGATTACCCGTGGGGGAGGAAGAGAAAGGACATTCAGATGCTCCTTCTGCTACCTAGGGTACCAAAGGAACTAATCAACTAACTAGTAGTTAGTCTGTACTATGTTTACACACTTCGCCACGTTTTAGGGCAAAAAGGAGAAAAGAAAAAAAGAGAGACAACCCCATTTGCCACCAACAGATGAATGGTTCATGAAGTGATGTTGAACTTGCATCAGAAGATGCAATGGAACAAGGTGAAGATGGACAGCCAGTTTTTTTTGTTTCTTTTTCTTTTTTTTCTTTTTTTTTTTTTTTACAAAAAAAGAAAAGAAAAGGTATTGAAACGAGGTTGGTGTTTAAAGTCTGATTCCCATACTCATGAAAGGGGGTGATTTGATTGGAGAGTCGTGAGGATCCGTCGATTGACTGTAAGCTTGAGTTTATTTTATTCCATTCGATTTCTCACATCTTGTTATCTCTGACTACAGAGTATTTGGCATTTTTATTTTTATTATATTATTTTTTTTTCCCACTCAATTTATCGTTTACCTTGCCTTTCCCTTTCTCCGCGCCTCCCTCGCTAGGTTGCTCGATGATCCTTTTCCTTTCCTTTCCTTTCCTTTTCTTTTTCTTTGTCCTGTCCTATCTCTTCTGATTGACCGCGTTCTCGTATAAAAACCGTCTATCTACATCCTTCAACTTATCAACGCCGTCTGAACAGAGTTTCCAACAAGTCTTATGTAAATGACTGACTGATGGATTGATTGGGCATAACAAATAAAAGGTCCATTTTCTCTTTCCAACTGCCCCCACTTACCCTTGGCCTTGGAATCCGTGCCGATCAATTATCGCGCCCTAGTGGTGACCTACTCACTGTAGGCCTGGACTTATCTTTCAATTGACTCGTTCAGATTTGCAAACGCAAATTCGTCCCGTCCACTTGCCGACCCACTGGCCGTATCTTTTCCAGAACGCTCGGCCTGCTTTTATATACTACAACATCTCCGCCCCCGTGGCGGTTTTTTTCTCCACACACATACACAACCTGGCGGAGTTCCTCTCTCTCTTTTCCATTCTGTCCTGCATTCCTCCCGAGAGAGAAGGTGAGACACTCGACTGACAGACACAACAAAAGAGCCCCCTGCTTCTTCCCTCGTCCTCACACAACCGAAGCTTTTTGTATCACTGTCTCTTTCCCATCAACACCCACCATCCGCCCTCTTTCAGCTCCCAGGCGGTGGCGCTGCTACGAGAAATAATCGGCACCGCGTGCCTGAACCCGAGATTCCATACAGAACTGCAAAGAATTTGTATATAACATGTCGGACATTAAAGCGCCTTTCGTCCCTGACTATGCATCTTACAACTGGACTGGAGCCCCATCTAACTATGACTCGCTGGCGACCAATGAGCTGGGTGGCGATTCCAGTATGTTCTAAACAACAAATATCCCGCTTTTTTCTTGTTCATTAAGACTAATTATCTCACCAGGGGTGGAGAATGTGAACAAGTGGTTTCAATCCGGTGATCAAGCGTACATCATCGTGGCTTCCGCCATGGTCATGGTCATGATTCCCGGTCTCGGTTTCCTCTACTCCGGTCTTGCTCGTCGTAAATCAGCCCTGAGTATGATTTGGGCTTGTATGGCTTCTTTCTCTGTCGTCACGTTCCAGTGGTATTTCTGGGGCTATTCACTTGCATTCTCGCCTACGGCCACCAACGGATACATCGGGAACCTCCGTAACTTCGGCCTGATGAAGACATTGGCCGATCCAAGTCCCGGTTCTGTTCTTGTGCCCAATCTTCTCTATGCCTTTTATCAGGTTAGTTTCTGGGCCTACCCACATAGGCGAAGATGACTAACTTCGAGTGTGTATTAGATGCAATTCTGTGGTGTCACTGCTGCGATTATCATGGGAGCTGTTGCCGAACGCGGACGCTTACTCCCGGCTATGGTGTTTGTGTTCGTCTGGGCTACAATTGTATACTGTCCCTTGGCTTGCTGGGTGTGGAATGTGAATGGCTGGGCAATGAACTATGGTGTGTTGGACTATGCAGGTGGTGGTCCAGTCGAGATTGGTTCCGGTTTTTCCGCACTCGCCTATTCAATGGTGCTTGGTCGTCGCCAGGAGCGTATGATGTTGAACTTCCGCCCTCACAATGTCTCTCTCATTCTCCTCGGAACCGTTTTCTTGTGGTTTGGATGGCTTGGATTCAACGGTGGCTCAGCCTTTGGAGCTAATCTTCGTGCTACTATGGCGTGCTGGAATACCAACCTGACTGCGGCTTTTGGGGCCATTAGCTGGGTCCTTCTCGATTGGCGCTTAGCGAGGAAATGGTCCATGGTTGGTTGGTGTTCTGGTACCATCTCCGGTCTGGTTGCAGCTACCCCAGCATCGGGCTTCATTACCCCCTGGGCTAGTGTGATTCTGGGTATAGTCACTGGTATTGTTTGCAACTACTCTACAAAGGGTAAGTTCTATTTGTGATGTCCCAGCCAAACAACAGTAAACTGACTGGATTTATAGTGAAATACTGGATTCGTATCGACGATTCCATGGATGTGTTAGCTGAGCACGGCATCGCGGGTATTGTCGGTCTTATCTTCAACGCGCTTTTCGCCGACGATGCGATCGTAGGACTGGACGGAGTCAATACTGGTAGCGGAATGGGTGGATGGCTGATCCACAACTACAAGCAGCTCTACATTCAAATCGCTTTCATTGTCGCCTCAGCCGCCTATGCTTTCGTTGTGTCTGCCATCATTGCCTACGCCATCAACGCAATCCCTGGCCTGAAGCTGCGGGCTTCCGAGGAAGCCGAATTGCTCGGTATGGACGACGACCAGCTTGGCGAGTTCGCCTACGACTACGTCGAAGTCCGTCGTGACTATCTTGCATGGACCCCTCAGAAACATGACCAGCTCGAAGATGGCCACCATATTCCCGCTGCCGCTCGGTACGGCATCGGGGAGCACAGCGAAATGATGCTTGATGGCCACACTCCCATTGGCATTGACAGTCGTGGTTGCAGCGAAGGCGACTCCGGAATCCATGAAATAAAGATCGCACCGGCACCTGCGCCAGCAATGGCACCTGCGCCACGTCAAGTTGCCGAACGACATCCCGCTCACGAGGGATCAATACCGCCTAGTGTCGAGGACGATGAGAAAGCACAGTAATGTGCCAGGACTCTGGATCTGTTCCATTCTATGATTTTGTGTTTTCCGTGATATCCAGCGTGCGTTTCTTTACTTTAACCATTTTGGCTGAGCCAGAATTTTCTCTTGTATTTGATACCTGTGGTTTGGGGTTGGTTGGAACTGGCGTTTAGGATTGATATGAGCGTGTGTCTCCATCTGTATATAATTAGAGCTTGCTTGGGGGATTTTATCTTTCCGGATACCACATGCATAGATTTGTCAGAAAAATGGTATTTAATGACATTAATTATCTATCTATTCAACCCTTAAAATCAAGTCAGTACGTCGATCCGCAATCTTTATCCCTTACCCGTGATAAGCCCCTAACCCTAATTTAATGCGTTGACTGCCTGTTCAAGAACACCTTCTAGTACTACTGCTGTTGTGAATATAGCTGCCTAATTATTCACTCTATTACTGGTTTGGAAAGTATGCCCGGCTTGATCTAGCAGATAAAGGAATGAGGAACAAAGAAGTAGGTAAATAAGGAAGCCTAGATAGGGTCTCTAAGCAGAGATAATCCCTGGATGGTTCAGAATAATCGATAACATTCTTCCTTATATTTCTTCAACTACTATGCATCAATATATGATAATGTAGCAGAATACCAGAAGATGTAAGAAAAGAAAGGGGGAATGAGAAAGAGAAATATTTAGTTGTTCTGTAAAAGTGTCTGAAAGATATTTGCAGTGCTTAAACATATTTGAGGAATATACAATATTAAAATACTCGTTGGTAAAGTGACGCCATTTAGCTTGCCACTAAGCTAGTATTGAGTGTTCTGTCGTCTCACCATTCCTCGAATCCTTGCCTGTTCTTCTCGGGACAGCTTCTCGACTACTTCGGCTGTCTCGCCTCCACGTAATACATCCTCCCATTCGTCGTCATCCATGCCCATGATTAACGTCATTTGCATGCAGCGAGCAAATGCCTCCCGGTGGCGGTATCTTCCCGGTGCCCCATGCGTGCCGCCAACAAACACTGCCGCGCTAGCAATTCCCGAGATGTCTCGTTCTAGTCGTGTGGCGCCTAGTGCGTTGACACGACCTTGATACGACCAGAGTCGCTTCTCCAAAAGTCGGGAGAGATAAGCCACCGTGATAGTTAATAGACGGTCAAAGGCAGACGCCGTAAGTATACGAGATATTGGGACAAGGAGTTCAGCCCAACTGACTGCAAAACGCGGACGGACAAGTTCCGCACGGCTGGCAGTATCATCCACATCCTCGTCACGGTCGTACTCATGGTACGAAGTGCTGGTGGGGTCATTGTCATCTCCGGGTTGATAATCAATATCTCGGAATGCGTCTGCTAAAATGGGCCGCAGGCGATGCTTGATGACGTTGTTGAACACGACTTGAATGCCATCGGACAGAAGGTCGTTGACCTTAGACTCAAAAGATGATGATAGGGCTTGCAACGTCTGCGCTGCGAGCTTGGCATCTGCAGTGACAGGAAAGAGGGAATGTAGTTGGTCCGTCTCTTCAGTTTGCCCGTTGGGACCAGTTATAGTCTTCCTGGTTTCGGTATGCGTCTGGACGATGCGTCGGATGTAATCAACGGCTACATCCAGATTATTGACCAAGACTAGAAAAGAGACTATCAGATGCTCTGGAGGCTGAGCTCCTTGTACTGATGCTCTCGGATAGCATTCATCCCGCATTTTCCGTTGTGTCATTCCAATGAAATCTGACCCTAGCACACGAGACAGAGTCGGCACAACATTAGTAACTACCGCGATTTGCGACGTTGCAAGTGATTGCTGTAGGACTTTGTTGACTATGTACATGATGTCATCGACGGCCGAGGTGATATATGGCGGGTCAGCCTTTAGTGGCCTCTGTGGGTTTAATGTCAGACCAGTGGGCTGTTCATCCAGCTGGAATGCCTTCTCAACTGTCCGACGGAAGAAGAAGGTGGTCATGGCATTGAATGGAGAAATAAGTCGGTCATTGACCTTTTTCGATAAAGTGGATTGCTGCAGGAATTGAGGCGGCGTATACGACTTGTCGTCTTCGTCAGGAGTCTATGGACGTTAGCTGGCAAAAACGATAAAGGCTCACTTATGACCCACATTGCATGTTTCTGCCAAGAATCGGCAATATAGTGACCAACGACCTAGCATAACTGCCATCTCATTTAGTATTCCGTCGATCTCTTTCATGTCAACACCCTCATCCTCAGCCGCTGAAGCCCCATCCCGGTTTGCAGGGGAGTTCGACCGCGGTGTGGCACTGCGCTGAGGAGGTAGAAAGCTTTGTACTAGGAAAGTAAATGCATATGATTTGATGTCAGTCAGCTTGCGATCCACATGCCTCTCATCACCCCAGGTGTCGAGAATGATACCGCCTTGGACATCTGCCTCAAGCTGTAGTCGCTCAATAACTCGGTTCATCTTTCTCGGACCGTAATGTCGCTCTACCAGTCCCCCATGACCATCAACAATTTGAGCGATATGTTCAAACAATTTGGTCAGAACATTTGCGTAAAAGAAGCCATCCTGGCTTTGAGTTCCTGCCCCAGCATTGAGGTTGGATCGCGCTCGTGACGCCACACCCTGGCATACGTAACGCCCGTAGACGTCAAGGCCAACATCTGAGCGGCCGATAAGAGGAAATAACTTGAAAAACCGCGTTATCTTGGCGCCATTGCTCTCCTTGACGGCCCTGTCGAATTCGCGCAAGAACAAGCCACAGAGGGATTCAGCAGCATTATCCAAGGTTACATTTGGCGGGTCCGGAACTTCCGCCGTAGGCACCATCTCAGCCGCGAAAGCTCCATGAACAACTTCTGGTGGGACTTTGGATGCCCGATTCAGATAGCTGGCTGCTGTTTCCCAATCCTGCGGGGCACCCATGGAGCCCGCGACTCCCAGCACACAGGCCTTGAGTTCAGAAACCTGTTCCACCACATCTAAAGTAGATTTTACCCGAGATTTTTCCAGATCCAGGCGGCGGACTGCGCTTGAGATTCTCTCTGCGGTGGCCGCGGCCTCTGTGAGCATGCCATGGCTGATGGATCGAGTGGTGGTGGTTTGGGAGCCGAGATGCGCACGGAGCAAATCCAATCGACCTAGTTCACGTGAAAAATCCTTCTGAGAGGCGACGAGGGCATCTAATCGAGCTGTGACCGACGTCTCCTGTTCGTGAAGGTGCGATAAAGTAGCCTTAATTTCTGCGAGAGAGCTGGCATTGAAGATATCGGACGAGGAGCCCGCATGAGGCCTGCTAGAGTCTAGAGAAGGAGACGAGGCCACCGCATGTCCATTGATATCGCCGACATTGGCTTCAGGCATTGTCCACTACGGCAGTTGCGAACGAGCAACTGACCAAAGGGAACAGGGGAATTGGGAGTGAAATGGGGTTAATCTGGCATGTTGTTGAAAGGATGGAAGAGGAAGGCGGTAAATGAAAGGGACTGGGTTGCTTTCAGACCAAGCAGTGTCAAAAATTCACAGTGAGGTATTAATGCCTCAGGCATGAATAAAGAAGACCCGATCGGGTAAACCGTCGATTCGACGTCATTCAAGATTATTTCCCCATACAATTTTCTTTCCGCCAGGTTAAATGGAAATCATCAACCTTGATCATTAGTGATCTAACAAAGCCCCGACTTTACCCAGCCTCTTCTGACTCGTTCACTTCTCTTCACAATTTCTTCGTCACCATTGGGCGCCACCGCAGACCCCAACATCAACCCGCCAGGCCCAATTCCGGCCGATTGCCTCGCACCATGGGCAACGAACCGTCGACCTTGGTAGATGAAGATACCCCTTCGTCCACGCTAGAAGCTCGGACCCTTGAGGCGGTTGCTAAATATATCAAAGCAAAGGATGACTGCCAAATTGTGGTGATGGTAACCCTCCCCGAATTTTCCCTTCCCCCCACTATTCCGACTGACAAGGTCTACGATAGGTGGGCGCTGGGATTAGCACCTCGGCGGGCATTCCCGATTTTCGTTCCCCAGAAACGGGAATCTATGCTAATCTGGCCCATCTTGACCTGACGGATCCTGAAGATGTGTTTGACATTAGCTTTTTCAGGGAGAATCCGCGGCCATTCTACGCATTGGCGCGGGAGCTGGCCCCCGGCCGATATCGACCCACTATTGCGCACTCTTTTGTCAAGTTGCTCTACGACAAGGGTCTTTTGATGAAGCATTTCACACAGAATATCGACTGTCTCGAGCGCCTGGCAGGTGTGCCTGGGGATGTGATCGTTGAGGCACATGGGAGCTTTGCAAACCAGCACTGCATCGACTGCAAGGCTGAATATCCCGAACAATTGATGAAGCGGTCCATTAACGAGGGTGAGGTACCTCGGTGCTCCCAATGCAATGGGCTTGTGAAACCGGATATTGTTTTCTTCGGCGAAGCATTACCGGAGGAATTCTTCCTTAACCGGACGCTTCCAGAACAGGCGGACCTTTGCATTGTTATGGGCACTAGTCTCTCCGTGCAGCCTTTCGCTAGCCTACCAGCATTTTGTCGGGATGGGGCACCCCGCGTGCTCATTAACATGGAGCGCGTTGGTGGAATGGGGTCTCGACCGGATGACGTCCTTCTTCTAGGAGACTGTGATGCTGGGGTGAGGAAATTCGCCCGAGCGTTGGGATGGGAACAGGAACTGGAATCGCTCTGGGAGAGCACGAATCCGGATAAGGGAACCCGAGATACGGAAGTCACTCCTTCGCAGACAAGAGATGAGCGTCTGCGAGATGAAATAGAGCGCCTTACCAAAGAGGTTGACCGCACTTTAGGTATCTCAGATGCCTACCAACAACGAGTGCGGCAGAATCTAGACCAGCATAGTAATGGCATAGAGAAGATGGCTCTAGCCGAGGAGCGGCGACAGAGTTACGAAGGCCTGGCACATGTATTCCCCCATTTAGCGCGAGAGAAGAAACCATCTGCCATTTAGACGTAGAATCATATGACCATATGCATTGGTGGCTCGAGTGGATGGCGTTGTGGTAATGTTTATTTATTTATTTTGTGGCTTGATGGTTTAAACTTTCTGACGGGTCCGTTTTGTTTGATTTAATCTTGTCGTTTTTACCTTTTCCTGGGAAAAGGAGAAAGAAAAAAAAAAAAAAAGGAAAGAAAAGAGAGAGAAAGAGAGAGAGATCCATTGACCTGTGACTGTCCGGTTCCTTTATTGTTATTATTGTCATTGTGATTTGTATTATCATTATTATTATTATTTTTTCGGGTGAGAAGGAACGGAATTAATTCAACGGCGGTATTAAACTGGAACTTATTTTCTATAGTCAATGATGGATGTTCTTCGTACCCAACAACCTCTTGTAGCCCTAACCTGTCAAATGATACGTCACGGAATTGGCCCTTCACCGATCTTTGGAGGTGAAATGCGGAGAGTTTGAATACCCGCGGGGTATCTACCATGGTGCAGGAGGTGTGGCATACAACATGAATGAGAAAGTCAACGCGAATAAAAAGGGGACGGAGGGGGGGTTCGTAGAATAAAACTAATTTTATCTTAGTCAAATTGGAGAGAAACAATACCCAAACAAGGACCGGTGAGTTGATGGTCCGGCCATGATTTCATCTCTTGCGGGGCTCTGGTCTTAAATTTTCTTGGTGATGCGTATTTTAGGGTCAACTGCCGCCCCACGCTCGGCGCTGATATCATTCAACTCTTTAACCTTCCCCAAACAACTCCCTCTTTCACTTCTTTTCCCTATTAACCTTCCATCTATCTCGCGCTTCACTTTTACCGACCTCACTTTATTATCTTCCCCTTAATCTCTCAACTAACATCATCACAATGGTCGGAATTGGCCCCAAACGCCCCCCATCCCGCAAGGGTGAGTTTGTTATCAGCAATGCCCCGCCACGGGTTTACCGATTCGGCGTCTAATCGGCATCCCGTCTATAGGATCGATGCATGAGCTCCCCCAGAACTTGTTGGAGCAGATTAAGCAATTCGAGGACGTTTTTACCGTGGACAGTGCCAAACTTAAGCAGATTGCAGACCATTTCGTGAAAGAGCTCGAAAAGGGTGGGTTTCAACTGGTCCGTTCGGCTGGTGGAGGTTGAAGGCTAATCGATAGCGGATCAGGTCTAAGCGTCGAGGGGGGGAATATTGTGAGTTCTTATCTGGATACTTCACCTTGCCCCTCATAACTCAAAGACTAATTCATTTCCGCAGCCCATGAATGTGACCTGGGTCATGGGATTCCCTGATGGCGACGAGCAGGGAACCTTCCTTGCTTTGGACATGGGCGGCACCAACCTGCGTGTTTGTGAGATCACCTTGACAGAAGAGAAGGGCGCTTTCGACATAACCCAGTCCAAGTACCGTATGCCGGAGGAGTTGAAGACGGGCACCGCGGAGGAACTGTGGGAATACATTGCGGACTGTTTGCAGCAGTTCATTGAAGCCCACCACGAGAATGAGGCACTGTCTAAACTACCACTGGGCTTCACCTTCTCCTATCCTGCCACACAGGATTACATTGATCATGGTGTTCTCCAGCGTTGGACCAAGGGATTCGACATTGACGGAGTAGAGGGCCATGATGTTGTGCCCCCATTGGAGGCAATCCTCAAGAAAAGAGTACGTTTTCTGGAAATTGAGCCAGAGCCGGATGACTAACTTTAGTCCAGGGCCTTCCTATTAAGGTTGCTGCTTTGATTAATGACACTACTGGCACCCTGATCGCTTCTTCTTACACCGACTCAGACATGAAGATTGGCTGTATTTTCGGCACTGGTGTCAACGCCGCCTATATGGAAAACTGCGGCTCGGTTCCCAAGCTTGCACACAAGAATCTGCCCCCAGACATGCCTGTAGCCATCAACTGCGAGTACGGTGCCTTTGACAATGAGCACGTTGTTCTGCCCCTCACCAAGTACGACATCATCATCGACCGCGACTCTCCTCGCCCAGGACAGCAAGCTTTCGAGAAGATGACCGCAGGTCTTTATCTGGGAGAGATATTCCGTCTGGCTCTCCTGGATCTGTTGGAGACGAGGCCTGGTCTGATTTTCCAGGGTCAAGACACCTCCCAGCTCCGGAAACCTTATCTGCTGGACGCGTCCTTCCTCGCAGCCATTGAGGAGGATCCGTACGAGAACTTGCAGGAAACCGAGGAGCTTATGGAGCGCAAGTTGAACATCAAGGCCACCCAGCAGGAGCTGGAAATGATCCGTCGCTTGGCGGAGTTGATCGGCACTCGTGCAGCTCGCCTGTCGGCGTGTGGTGTGGCCGCCATCTGCAAGAAGAAGAATATTGAGTCTTGCCATGTGGGCGCAGATGGCTCTGTCTTTACGAAATATCCCCACTTCAAGGCCCGTGGAGCTCAGGCTCTGCGCGAGATCTTGGACTGGGCACCTAACGAGAAGGACAAGGTGGTCATCATGGCTGCTGAAGACGGCTCTGGTGTTGGAGCGGCTCTTATTGCTGCATTGACATTGAAGCGGGTCAAGGCAGGCATCAGCTGTGGCATCCGGGATATGGCTGATATGCAGAGTCTGATCTAATATGTGGGTGTTGTCGACTTGATCTAACTCCGGGCGTTAATCATTGGAGATACATCTTCACGTCCTTGTTCTTATTTCTTTCTTTTTCTTTCTGAGGGGATGACATATCAACACGAGGGACATGGCTCGGTTTACAACATAGACCGATGGGGTTTTTTATACGGGAAAGGCGAGTATAATAAAAAAGGCAAAAGATAACTATTTGATTACACACATTTACATATGGGAATTAACTTACGTTCAACAAACCACGATTCTGGGACTAAACAGTCTTGTGCTTGGAGGATATTTCCAAGACTCAGCAAGAGTCTAGCCACTCTTGAGTCAGCGTTGGGATTCACATATGGGGTTCTAAGACATACAATAGCATCCGCTATCAGCACGGAGGCATTCCCACTAGAAACGACCCGTGATCTTGCTCACCATCAGGATAGTACAGCGCCCTTGGAACAGCTGCAATGCCCCAAAATATGCCTCCGTTTGCTCGTTACCTTACCTGGAGAATATGTCGGCATCTGGGACTCAGTGCTTGGGGTCAAGATTGAATTGAATGGCTAAATATCACTCTAATCTGGCCCACTGGAAAAGATCATCAGTCAATTCTACTCTGTGACTGTTTCTTCCCTTGTATACTTCCAACTATGAACCCTGCTACCCACCGCGTCGTCCTCAATACAGCGGCATCATCCTATTGTGACGAGAGAAGTTAGCAGTACTTCCCCCCCCATGATACTACCCAATTTATGCCCGGAGGGGCGGCATAGTCTCCCAGGACCATTTCATGACTAGCAGCTTTTATACTAGGACTAATTCAAGCCTTGCCACCTACCCTGGGCAAAGAGCAATCTTTAAGCAAACTCTCGTAATAGCCAAGCTGCACCCACTGCCGCTACCTCTTCTATCGCTACTACGGCTGCCTACTACCTACTACAATAACAGCCAATACCCCGGGCCACACTCTGGACCCCAGTAAGAGCTTTATAAGAGCTCTCGTAAAACACAGCAAAGTAGTAGTAGTCCCCATTCACAGCGTGGGGCCAAATATGAACTGCATTCTAATTTTGCCCTCTTCCATAATGATTAGTTAGAGAACCAATGGAAGGCCACCGATTGAGTTAGCTTTGCGCAAGTATATACAGCGCTACGGTGGTGGGTGATATAGGCTAACTATACACGGGATTGAGGGGGGAAGGGGAACTTTGACTTCTCCTTCCTTTCTATTCGTTCTGCCTTCGTATACTGAAGCAGATTGGCCCTAGTGCTTGCTATATTCTACTACACCCTCATTGAGGAATAGTTAAAGACAACTTGTCTAGAGAACAACCAGGTATACCTAGATAGTCGCGCGACTGAGATTGAGAAACTATATTTTGAACTTAGAGAGCCATGGCAAAGAAATCTAATGGACTAAATTCGTTATCCAAAATGTATTCTATTTACAGATATACATGATGTACGATCTTCTGCCTCGCTCGTCGTTGCTTATCCTCGGATTTCCCAAAGCCTAATACGCCCCTGCTCGTTGCCGACGGCCAACTGTCCTGAATTGGGCGAGACGGCAACTGACGAGATACGTCCAAGAGGGGTGTTAGACGTGGGCCAGTTACGGTATACAGTGCAGGATGGAAGATGAACTGTAACGGTTAGGATGCGTTAAACTTAGTAAAAACAGAAGGGAGGTAAGCAAAATAAGCTTGACATACCTATTCTCAAGGCATCGCGCTTCCAGCGACTAGCCATTACGAAGAACTGACCATCCGGAGCAAACACCAGGTGGCTGATTGGCGTCGTCAGCTGGTCAAGTGCACGTACGGGTTCAGGGTTGCGTGGAATAGCTGGAGCGTTATTATCTGCCGAAGAAGATTGTGCTGCATATGCTGCGGCCCATTCACGACGATCATAGACGTTAACCACTCCACTAGAACTGCCGATTGCAATCCAACGGTCGCCTCCCAACTGTGTCCGTCCGGAACGTCCTCCAAGAGCAAGGACTGTCGTGCCTACCGCACCGGCATCCATCCAGCGGGCCACCACTTGATTCAAACTGCCATCCCATTCGGATACTTCACCGTTCTTACTGACGACCGTCATGCCTTCACCATCACCCCACCAGGCAAAGTCCGCAACGCCTCCCTGGCCATCCACGCGAACTTGTGCAATCCATTGTGCCGTACCCGAATTCAGAACGTTGATGAGACCACCGCCCTTGCGCGACGTGCCAACAAGCCCCACATACCGTCCGCAAGGAGAGAGCTTAAATCTTTCCATGGACTTCTGTTCCTCTTTTCTGTCGGCGGAGCCATTTACCTTGTCAACCTTTCCTGTGTCAAGATCCCATATATGAAAATATCGCCGACGACCGGAAGCAAATATCTTGTTACCGATTGGGGGAGCGAAAGCAGATGTGTGAATAGGTGTACGGCGAATATGAAATGACGTGAGAAGAGGATTAGGGGCGGCCGCGGAGGGTGCGATATGATGTAAGAATAGAGTGGCAGCAGGTCCCGAGGACAACAGCAATGGATAATGGGGATGGAAAGAAAGCGAATCGACAGATGACTAGAAAGCAGGATTAGCTATTTCCACCGTCCGACAGTTGGACAAACATCACACTTACTGGCTGATCCCCCCCGACATCCTTCAGTCTTTGAATGTCGATAACCTCCTGTCTTAGCTTTCTCTTTCCACCTGGGCCTGCATCCTCGAGCTTGGTAAGATCAGTGGCACCTTGAAGTAGCTTGGCCAAAGGCTGTGCATCAGTTTGCTCTTCATCATCTGTATCCATGACGTCCGCGTGCTCAGAGTCGGAATCGCCCCGGCTCTTTTGTTGTCCCGGAATCGCCCATTCCGGTGTAGGATGCAGCTGCTGATAATGGCGGCGAAGTCGTCGAATATACTCATTGCCACTAATCACGTCCTCAGACTCAGCGACACGCAGCTTTCTCAACCTCTGCTGGCTGGCTAGGGAGACAGCTAGAAGTTCGTCGTCGCTATCATGCCACACAGCCGGAGCTTCCTCCAGATCTTCTTCCTCAGTTTCGGAAGGTGTTTCCGGGGATTCGGCGAGGTCAGTGGAAACGGGTCCAGCCCCAGAATCAAGGAAAAAAAGCTACAAAGGAAACACATTAGCGCGACCAACAATTTGACAGTTTCTCTTTTCTTGCTTCTTTTACAAGAGAGAAAGGAGGAGAGGGGTGATATACATACATCGGCATCATCAACGCCATCCAGTTCTTGATCCTCACCCCCATTCTCCCCACGATCTGCGTCAGAGCCCTCATCGCCGCTTTCTTGCGATAAAGCCAAAAGGCTGCGCTCCTTTTGGCCTTTTAACGCGCCTTGAAAACCCTCGTCGTCGCCAAATAGCAGCTTTTCCAATTTCTTCTCCGATTCATCCTTTTCAGGAATATCATCAGAGCTGTCGCTCGTGTTGCTGTTCATTTCCACGTCGCTGTCTTCTTGAGTAGCCCTAGCATTCTCAAACGGCGAACGTGAAATCTGCTTATATTTCTGGCGGGCTTTTTGCTTGACATTGACTTTAGGCATTATGTAACTCGCTTAATCTTTTGGGATTTACAAGGATGTATATGGCCTATTATAAGGTAGAATGAATAAAAAAAAACGGTATTTTAATGGAAAGAAAAGAAGGCAAGAAGCAGAATCGAAGAGTAAGTTGGTGCCGACAATGGTGGAGTTTCGACAATAATTTTCTTCATTCATCCGGCAGAAGTGGGCGGTGGGTTCTGCGGTAAGAAAAGCTGCCTTAGGGTATTGCAGTCTTCAGGCAAGGACATTTGACATCTATGGCAACAAAAAAGCATGAACATATACCTAGACCGAATATGGAAGCATATAACTTATGAAAACCTACCAACTCAGAGCGAATTCTCTAAACATTGTTTAAGAAAAGGCAATATGGACAAAATGACAAGAGGGGAAATAAAACAAATCACAATCAATTCCGACCTTATACCAATGGAACCGAACCATCTGCCACCGTGACAACTACCGATCATTAACGCCGACTTAAACACCGTTTCAAAGCATAGGCTAGTCATGATCTTTTTGTGGTGTTGCAAACTCTGCCGATGATAGCGTATGATCATTTTCAATATGTCCGGCGCGAGCTCTAGTAGATGTTGATGATGCAGAACTATGCTCCAGTTCGCTGGTTGGATGGTACTCAGCAGAGTCAAATAGGCGCCCGACATCCTTCTGGGGAGGGCTCACGAATACTTTCCTGCTGCCCTTCCCAGCAGAGTCATCTTCTGATTCTGATGCGACCTCCTCTTCCAGCCCGGCCAACAAGGCATGATGGTGATCGTGCCTATCATCTAGTACGTCATCGACCTCACTCTCTTCTAGCATTTCATGCGACGGTTTCTTGATGAATATATCGATGATGTAATATTGAATCGCATTCATGATTACCGGAAAAAGCAACATCACAAAGATGATTTGAATGGCTGTGTTACCCTCGGTCCATCGCAGAGCCCAGTCGCCCACCTTGACGATGAACGGCAACAATTGAATGAGGAAGAAGACGCATATCTTCATCCCCAAAAGTCCCACAAAGTATATCATAGATTGTTTGAACCACCAAGTCGCTCGTGGCGGACGACCGTAGTGCCCAGACTTAATAGAGTCCGGGGGATCTGCAAGAGGTGTGTAAAGAGCCAGGCGGTTCAAAATGTGGAGGATGAAAATGAGAATCGGTATGCCGAGAGTAGTCTGCGATTAGCATTAGCCAGCTACTAAGAAGATACAGAGATACAAAACCGAGGAACTTACATCGATGCCTAGGTTCAGTATGTAGAAAGAGCATGGGTTTGGCTTATACTCGCTCGTAATTTCTAATTGACCGGCCGAGAACATGGACATGAGCAGATTCGCCAGATGTAGCATAGCCGATCCGAAGACCTGCTTAGAAACATCGAACGCCCACACTTTTAGGGGTCGTTGAGGTCTTTCCCTCCATCTCTTATAGACAAGGGATAAAAGTGCTAACGCTCCGAGAGCGACTTGCACCAGAAGAGAGAAAGGACCTAACAGCCTGCATTCTCCGGTGTCATCACTATCTCCGCTTGGATCTGGGCCTGCCAGGGAAAAAGGGATAGTTTGAGAAGTCGGAGTCGGTATGGGTGTGGCGAGAGTGCTGGAAACAAAGTCCAAGTCGCCAGCCGAAACGCTGCTGATGAAACCTGTAATAGTAATCGCCACACTGGCTACCGAAGTAAACTTTGAGACAGGCATGGCCGGCCTATCTCTATCTTTAACGAGTAATACGTTGGGTAGAATCACTGGTGTGAGGGCTAATAAGTTTGAGGGGGCTCAAAACAAGGCGGCTAGTGTGAGTGATGCGAAGTCGTCCGCTCATGTAAAAGAAGGCTCCCTATACAATGGGGGAAGCCTGTTTAACGCACATACGGACGAGTATCGCTGTGAAAACAGGTGTATTTGACATGTGTGAACGTCAACCGCAGGGCAAGTTCTCCTTTACCAGCAAGGATCCTGAGCCAGCCAGGTGGGTTTTTACAGTTATCTGAGAATGGGGAACAGAAACATCGCGGTAGAAGCGGCGGTGCCAGGACGAGACACCGCCCCCGCCCGTAAGCGGAGCTGTCCACTAGTTCCCAACTTTTGGGTTAGTCTTAAGGCAGCTAAACTGCTAGTATCTTCGGATGAAGGATACTCACTAGACCCTTGATAGATAGGTACATAGTTAATCTGTTTCGCATTGATCCCTTCAATAATCTACAAAGCAGCTAGAAGATAAATCCCTTCGTACAAGTTTCCAACTAATATTTATGATACTTATTTTCCTGCCTTCTTGACCCCTATTCAATTTGTGATTATATCTAATCAGTCGTGAATTGAAGTGGATATGCGGGTCTATCTTTAATGAGTGATCCCAATATATATTCAATGGAGAAATATTATCTAAGATAGCGTCTCCCGGATAAGGGAGGTATCGAGAATGCTCCATTTCCGTTGTTGTGTCTTTCATCTAGATGCGAACCCACCGGAGCAAGGATTGACACAGCTGCGATATCCCATATCTCATCGATTCCACCAAGTAAACTATATCTTAGATCATGAGCCTCTCAACCTTGTCCTTGATAGTCCGGATCTGTCCCATGAGGTCGCTAGCCTCGTTGGTGGTGATGCTAGCCGCGATCACCGGACGAGAGACACCAGTCGCCCGGCCCAGAGCAAGCTTGCTGGGCACGAAGACATACGGGGTATTCTTGTCTTCACAGAGAAGGGGGATGTGCAAAAGGATAGCGAGAGGATTGGTGTCTGCAGCGAGGATGACGATTTCAGAAGTACCACGGTTGAGGGTTTTGGTTGCTTCGTTTGCTCCCTTCTTCAGCTGACGGTAGTGAGAAGCCTGCTGTACAAGGTCCAGAAGGTTCTGGGTGAGGCTCTCATCAGCCAGAGGCCAAGCTACAAAGGAACAGACATTAGCTCATGATCGGAAAGCGCTCAACCGGGAACGAATCCAGATACAACAGATAGCAAAACTCGCACTCACCGGCATTAGGTTCTCCAGACATGGTTTTGTAAATGGTATTGGCTTCACACGGAGGAGTGGCTCACGCAAAGGATCACTGCCGTCTTGCAGATCTGTATGCTTGAAAAGATTGTTTGAGAGAACGCTGTTCGGTTGAGAAAATCTTGACAAAAATGACTGGTGGGGCGGTACAAGGACTAACCTCCTTGGGAAATAGTAATGCCTTAATTAACAGGCATGAATAATCACAGGCTCTCCAAGAGTTGCATGTCTACTAATCAACCTTTTTTTTTTTTTTGGCAGATTTTTTGTTCTCTTCTATCTTCTCTCATGATCCCGATCGATGATTCTATTCACTTTGCAACTCCAATAGGAAGACGAAACCCTCCCAGCATGTTTTATGCGATGATAATAGATCCCGGACCGAGTTTGACTTGTGCATAGGGTGAAAGGCAATGACTTTTACGGAGTATTGGGTCATGTTGAACATGGCTGTTTATCACCTTTGACACTACTAGTAGTACTCCGCTCAGGTGCACCTTGACAAGAACTCCAGCCATGATGTGATTACTGAGTAGTCAATCTCCTACCATCAGAACTGACGAATTAGGTGTGGGTACATACCCGTATTACAGTTGCCCAACTGTCCAAGCCTACCCTAAGGCCCTCTAGACTAACTGAAATAAGCTTAAGGGGATCTGTCAGGGGAGCCTGTGCCCGACCATGCAGGGTCGCATGATCTTCAAAGTAGATCTACGCTCCATGTGGTAAACATCACATGTAACGGCCAGTTGATTCGGAAAACCGCTTTTTTATAAACTCCTAGGCATTAGGCATGTAGATTGCCTCATCTAGTGGTGCCCAGGTCTCATTGTGTGTTCTGTTCTTATAGGGGTGGACAATAAGCTGGTCTCATAGGTTAACCGCGACAGCCGACAGTGGCCGGCGATCGAGAGCGATTATATTGATAGTAGCTAATAACCAGCCGGAATGGTGGAATTGACCCAGCCTGAAAGATCCCATTCTGTATCGTTTCCCTGGTCAATAGCCAGAGAGTGTCATTCAACCCGTCGGCCACCCTCATACTAGTATCCATGAATAAGAGTCACGAAACCCATAAGACTAAAACGCCAGAAACCCCACAACCAACCCATGATAATACGCAGCCAGATGCCTGCAAAGGGTACACAGAGAAAAGCAAGAAAAAGAATCGTAACGTCATTCTATACCGTGCTGCTGTTTAAGACGTTCCAAATTCTCTTGCCTTTCCGCCAAGTCCTCTTTCGACTTGAGCATTTTCTCTGGCTGGTGGTATAGTACTAGGAGTAAAGGGTCAGTCAAGCCTCACCTCGATTGAAGTAGAGTACGTCCAATCCAATACGTACCGACGAGGTATCTGTTCTGGAAATTGAATCCATTGAGCTTATCGCATGCCTGTTTGGCGTCGTGAACGTCTTCGTATACTACAAATGCGGTGCCCTTCGAGTTGTTCGCAATACCCTGACGTATTTGTCTAGAGACAGAAGGTTAGTCTACAAACGAATAATGGGGAAAAATTTTATGCTTCCTTTGCGACTAACTTACCTGATAGGTCCGAACTTGCCAAAAAGGTCGAATAGTTGCTCAGCAGTTACGTTGTAGCTATACAAACAGCCTCTTTATTAGTATTTTATCCTCAAATCATGCATATATCCTTCTCTCGGTTTCATCAAAGACGCTAGACATGCGACGCTCGGCTCTGGTAGACCGGTTTATCACGACGGATGAACATACTTGAGGTTCTTGACAAAGAGAATCCTATCAGCTGTCAGTACATTGAATGAGCTTAGTAGGCTACAAATGAGGCTCCGAACGCGTAGATAGCTACGCTATCCGGCAGATCCAAATTAACGTAGGAGGGGCAGATTTGTTCGTGATAACTTACCGATTGGCTTCGGGGGCGAGCTTCCGGCTCATTCTCGGGTGGGACAGTGATGGTCCTAAAATTTGGTAGGGCGATTGATTGTGTCGAGTAGATACCCAACGGGACTGGGATCGTTCTTTTAGAAGGAAAGAAGAAGAATAGGAAGAGGAGAGAGTCACTGAACAGTGATGACCACGAGGTCGGAAACGGGGGATGCCTTTCCTGATTAGGACTAGGGCCTCGGAGGAGCCTCACTTTGTTGGTTCCTCATGAAGACAAGCATTACCAGAAACACTACGGATCTACACATCCCAAAGACGAGTACTAGGTAGCAGTATCGATTGGTAAAAGGGGCGTGGAATAAAACTACGCGGGAGTGACCTCATGTAATCTTCTCGCTGTATAAGTGGAAGACACAATCCACATAGCCAGCTCTGATCTACAACGATCTAGTACTGTTTGGCCGCAAACGATAGGCAGATATGAGGGTGGCCTGAAGACTGAGGCAGACTTACAGCGCCGCGCCCGCTTTGCCTTCCCTCGCGCTCTCCTCGGCCTCCCGTCGCCGCAATACACATCTTCTCCATCCCACAACTCATCCCATCAATTACTTTCACTGCGCGCTATCCAATCGTTTAGTTCCCTTAATCTCTTAGAGCTCTTGTGTTCCTGCAGTGTCTTTCTTAATTTCGGCCGCACCCGCGGTGCGTCCTCGGTGCTGCGTCCTCCCGCCGCTCTCGACTAGTCGGCAGACTGAACTTCCCCCCTCAACCTCCCAGTGTTCCGCCGTGCGACTCTTCTCCGTCAACCTCTTTTCTTACCCAACACCGATCATCTCACCCCGTCTCGGATATCATTACATTATCCAGCGCGCGCCGTCCGCTTCGCCAGGAATGACTCTCCATTTGCCTGCGGTGGCCTCTCTATAGCCCGTGTGGTCGTTATATCCCCGCTTTGCCCGCTTGCCGCAAAGTGCCTTGTCACCTCCGGTCTTACCTCTGCGCCCTTCCCCCTTTGATTCTATATCTCAGACCCAATATGATTACTACTACATCATTTTTAAATCACTCTGGCAGTCGACCGCCACGCTATCGCACTCCCTCCCCTCCGCGACGCGCCGTTGAGCCAATTTCTCCCTGCACAACCGGCGATACTCGAGCTTCGTGGGTCGACCGCGGCGCACCTAGAGTTGCGAACTTCGATCGCAACCAGTTCACACATAATCATAGTCGATATGCTGTCGCGGATAGCGTGTCTCATCAGAGATCTAGCCATGGGAGGTCAAGTTCGACGATCGACACCCTTGCGACGATTGCCCTCGCGACGAGTCCTACTTTTGCACCTCTATCCTACCGCCCTCCATCGCGGAATTCCACATCAAACATGTCCCTTTTTCCTCCAGAGCCGGTAGACTTCGCAGAACGCCCGGCTAAACGCCCGCGGTCGGAAAAAGATTCTTCTCCATCTCATCAGCATCGTATGGGCGCATTACCAGATTTAAAACCGCCATCGGCTTTTGACAGCATGAAAACAGATGCGGAGCTATTATTGAACTTTGCGAGGCCGTCGAATTTCCACCATACCGCCCCTTCTTCGAAACGAGCGAGCATAGACGAGTCATATCGTCAATATGGAAACGAAGCAAAACGTCATGTTAAGGATGGTTTCGGGGCTTCGTACATGGACTTAGGCGAAGATAAACCTGCTTACAATACTTCGGGACACAGTAATTTTCCACCGTCGAGGATGAGATCTCAGTCTGACGGTTCGGCTGTTATTTCTCGGCCCGCCATACATAATACGCGACCGAACACAAGTTCCTCCAGCCTTCAGCCAATTGTATGGCAGGAGGAAGGAGATAGTGCAGAAAGCAATTGGCCGTCTTCTACAAATGTGGTGGCCAACAATTTTGAATATGATGCGCAGGCCCCCGGCACCATTGACCCTCAAATATCGCGAAACTCTAAGGTGGAAGACGATACAGAGCTTGAAGAGTCTGGCCAGGCAAGTTGTGCTGCTTGCAATCTTGTCCGAATACCGATGGACACTGGCGAACAAGGTGATGTCACATGGATCAGCTGTGACGGCTGCAAACGCTGGTTCCACATTGTCTGCGCGGGCTTCAAAACTGACCGCGAAATTCGGACAGTTGATAAGTTTATTTGTCGTGGGTGTCGGCCAGTTCACGGACAGACTACCTTTGTTCGCAAGTCATCTCGTGCCCGTACTGCTATCGATTATGCCGGTCTCAACCAGGGACTTGTTAAGACTGCTACGGAGTCGATGGAGCACCACTATATTGAGCCTATCCGAGAAGGGAAAATTCGCTTTCTACCAGAGAGCTTTCCACGCATGCGCCCGGAGCTAGTCACAGCTGAATATTTCGAGCGAGGGAATGGCATGACAGAGCCAATCGTAATACCAGCCCATCTAAACACGCGGGATCCGTTTTCGACCAGCAGCCCTGACTATGATGCACTCATCCAAGAAGCGTCTACCCAGGAAATGTTCGATGAGCTGTTGGACCACACACATGAAGACTGTCAAGGTGTTGAGACTGTGATTGATTGTGGCCAAGATCAATTAGACATGGTCATTCCCCAGGGTCTCACAGTCAGAGCGGTTGCAGAGCTATATGGGCCTGAAGAAAGGGTAGAGGTGATAGATGTTAAATCACAACAAGGCGAAGACAAAAGGTGGACGATGCAGAGATGGGCCGACTATTATGAAAATGCGGGATCTAAGGTCGTTCGAAACGTCATCAGCCTGGAGGTGTCGCAGAGTAGATTGGGCAAATTGATTCGTCGACCGAAGATCGTGCGTGATCTCGATTTGCAAGATTCAGTTTGGCCGGAAGATCTAAAGGCAGTTGGGGATTATCCCAAAGTCCAGTTCTACTGTCTTATGTCCGTTGCTGACTGCTATACGGATTTCCACATCGATTTCGGCGGCTCGTCAGTATACTATCACATTTTGAAGGGCAAGAAGACATTCTTCTTCATACCGCCTAAGGATAAACACTTAAAAAAATATGAAGAGTGGTGTAATTCACCTGCCCAAGACTCTACCTTCCTTGGGGACCAAACTAAGGAATGTTACCGGGTTGATCTTTCTGAAGGGGACACAATGTTGATTCCCTCCGGCTGGATCCATGCCGTATGGACTCCTAAGGACAGTCTAGTTATTGGAGGCAATTTCCTGACAAGACTGAACTATGGGATGCAGATCAAAATTGCCAAGATTGAAAAGGATACAAAGGTTCCAAGGAAATTCCGATACCCGTTCTTTCAGAAAATCCAATGGTATGCAGCTTTGAAGTATCTTGAAGAGGACCCTATTCCTCAAAGCGTACTGGATGCCTTCGCGCAGGACGAGAATTATCGTTTCCATCGAGATTACCCCATCTACTACGAATTTGGAGAACGGGCAAACACAGCGCCTTTCGGATCGCCGTATCATAATTCGCGCTTCTACTCGCAAGCAGAGTTAGAGGGGCTCCCAGATCTTGCGAAGTATCTTCTTCGGACCGCTTTGATTGCTGGCTCTTACATTGTTGAAGGGGTGACGGCGGACAGCAGGAATGCAATCAAGCGATCAATCCCGAAAGGTGTTGGAGATCCGATTGACACTGTTAGAAAATTCGGAATCTGGGTCGCTTGGAAGCGTGGTAACGAAAAAGCCGCTCAATGGACACGACCCGGTGTCGTTGAAAGCAATGCCAAACTCAGTCTCACAGAGAAAAAATCAGCTGGTCGACCTAGTCGTCGTTCAGAACGCAATATGGACAACCAGCGCATGTACGCAGAGAGGCAAGCTGTGCAAAGACCCCTAGAACAATCTCGTGAGACATCCAGTGCGGTCTCTGGTAGTAGTGCTTCGGTACCACCAAGCCTCGTTGTTCCTACACCTCTCATCTCTTCCGGTAGCGGGGTGAAAGAAGATAATGTTTCCAGGCCTCGGAACATTCATCGGGGTTCCGGACTAGGTCCGAAGCGAGTTGCCTGTGATGCTTGTCGCAAACGAAGGATCCGATGCCATCATAAGGATGAACAAAGTGACCCAGCGCCAACAAAGCAAATGCCGGTTAGTGTCTTCGCCGGAAACCAATCATCTCTGGCACATGATGCCGCATCTGCGCTGAGCTCTTTGGCAGCAATTGCATCTGAAGCAGGTCTTCAAGATGGAAATGGTGTGTTGGACCGATTTGAAGCTGCTGGAAAGTACGGGCCAACTGTCATGGGTACACCGCATACAGTGACCAGCAAACTAAACGACATTAGCCCTGATGGAATCAACGCAGGGAAGAAAGGACGTAGCAAGGCTTGTGATGATTGTCGAAAGAGCAAGGTATGTCGCTGCGCAACCACCGTTGTGCATTTTACTTATTAACTGGTTGTGTATAGCGGCGATGTATCCACGACGAGTATGGGCGAATCGATCCTGTCAAAGCTCAGGAACGGTCGAAACCACGAGCTGCAGCTTCTGCCAAAAGACCCCGGCCCAACGAGGAAAGCTTTAACCCCACAACAAAGAGACCGAAGCAAGAAAGCACCTCTCCCATGGCAAAGTCGGCGCATCTCAACCGAGAAGGTGACACAATAGATGCGCAGGGAGCTCGACCATCTACTCAATTATACAAGACAGGCGACTTTGATGCTATTACGCAATCGGAGATATCTCGTGCGGATCAAGGCTTTTCGCAGCAGCCAGGTATGGTAGTTGCAACAAAGGAAGCGCCTGTGGCGCAAAATTCATATGCATCACCGCCTACATTTCAGACAGATGATGTCGTTGCTAAAGAGATCAACTCAGCCTCTGTGCCTCAGCCGGCTGTTTCACTTGTGTCGCCGCCAACTTCCTTGGCAGATGAGACTGATGTCCTCCAAGACCATGCCGATGCCGAGGGAGAGCATTCTGCAATCCTTCAGACACCGACATCTAATGCTCGTCACTCTTCTCGTCAACCACGTCATGTAAATCGATATATTCCTGAGGCTCATGTCATCAAGCCGTCGAAGTCATCTGCACACACACCAAATGCACGTCGCCCATCCTTTAGCGCTTCAAGCACTGGCACGCATAGGACTACCCCTGGTCCATCGTCGGGTTCGAGGAAGTCGTTGTCACGTCCGTCATCATCACACGCAAAGACGCCAACTGCCGATAAGAAAATTGACCGTCACGCTACGTTGGCGTCCCCTGGCCAGACTGGCAAGTATATGAAGCGTGAGCGAGCGACTGGTGCAAACGGTGAGCCAGATGCTGAGAGCATGCGCTTGATCCGTGAGCTTCAAGAGCAGGAATTTGGCCTACGAAAGCGATACACGAGAGCGTAAAGCAGGCGACCGACCTGCGATTTTTTGATTTATGTCATGCTCTCTTTATGACGGGTTATGAAATTCTTTTCCCTTTCCTTTCCTTTTCTTTTTATTTTTCCCCCTCTTATCTAGACCACCTCAATCGGGCAACCACCGAAGTTGATATGAATCTGAAAGAATTACACTCGGGTGATTTCACTACTTGCTGCCGGGAAACTTGGGAAGGGAGTTTTGAAAGGGTGGGAGTCTGGACTTCGTTGGGGCTTTATGCTTTGTGTGATTTGAATCGGCGTTTCGTCGTCGCCAGGCTGTGACGTTCGTTTGGGTTTTTGTCTCATTGCATCAGACATTATTTTTGAGCATTTCTTTCCTATCTTGCTTCTTTCCTTTTAGCTCTCCAAGTCTGTTCAATTTGGCGTTTTGAGTGGGTACACTGGGGATTCCTGATCAAACCGTTTCTCACATACCTTTGCTTTGTTTCGGTCAAATCCCTCCTGCTGTATTTTCTTTTCATGCTAGTTCCTTGGGTGTTCGTTCAATGAAGTCTTGCTAGCGTCGTCAATCGGTTAGCTGCCCATGCCTTATTTGTTTTCTCTTACCTTCACTGTTTCATTTCGGCTCTATACCGATTTTTTCTGTTCTGGTATTGCTTGACATAGCTCTCTGAATATCCCATTTATCCTTCCGAAAACGGATATATTATTACCATGATCCATACCTTTCCAAACAAGATAGGCCTCCATGTATGCCTTCCGCGATTTTGTTGTTCAGAATGTTCTAAATATCCGATCAAGTAGTTAATGTGGATTCCCGCGTCTTCAGAACCTAGGCCCTAGACTACACGAAATGGAATATCTTTGTTGGCCGCTTGATGATGACCTCAGTGCTGCCAAGTCCACATGCGACAAGCAGACAACGTCCGTAACAAAGCTAAGTGGCCGTTTATCAATCAAATGTGCTGTAGACGATTAGAACCGGCCGATGGACGTCAATTTTGGGGCTGCATTTAAATGTCTACGCTGAGTGATTGAACAATGACTCATTTACTAGTAATCGTTGATTCATCGACTCAGTTATCTATCCAGTCTCAGCCCAGTTTCACTTTCACCCTGTGCAAGGAATCTCAAAGTTGCGACCATCGACAACTCCATCCAGTGGAGATCTCCTACCAAGCTCCATCGTACGTAGTAACTGTATATTCATCATCCATCGTGACTCATACGCTTCAAACTCTTGACATCAAGTCAATGGTCTAAAAAGTCGGGTATATGGGAACAGATGGTGTATATCCTATGATATGGAATGGAATCACCAAAGAAAAGGAAGGAAAAGAGGGAATCAAGTCTTCATGGCTTGTTAACCCAAGAAACCCTTCAATGGCGGCTCCCTGGGTCGGTACTAAGCCATCGCTTGGCCCTTGTGTGCTCCCCGATATAGTTCTTGATCACGCAAGGCCCCTCATCAGGCCCTTGACACACTTTGCGGCGATCTAGATGTTTGAACCGAGGACCAAGGGGCCCGTTCACGTAATGATATTGCCCTGCGAAGCGATATTGTCGATGATCTCCCAATGGATAGAACTTGTCACCCCAATGGCCATTGTAATAAAACCATTCTGTGGGTGAATCCAGGTTGCAAGTGGATGCAAGCAAAGTATCGTTGTTATAATCGTAGGTATATGAGCGGGAGTTTAAGAGAGGATCCCACAGCGGGCCGCGGTCCGTCTGATCGTGAAGGAGACCCCATGGCAAAATATAATCGTGAATACCGGGAGTCGCGTACATGGCATGGGTTCCCAGCGCCGAGTAGATGACTGGCTGATGATCCCGGTCAGTGGAAATGGTATATGTATGTTTTCAAGATAACTTTGACTTACTCGCTCCCCAATCTTTTCGACGGCCTCGTAACTATATGCTTCGCCCGCGCTATGGGCACTGAAAAAGAGTGCTTTGGGCTTACCATGCTGGAATCGCACGAGACAGTGTTCCCAATCGCCGACATGGTTCCCAAATCGCACATTCAGAACTACATTCCCCAGGTTGAAGCTGTAGAAATAGAACCAGAAAGCATCAATGATGCCGTTACCTTTGTCCATAACGATCAGCACAGCTGGTGCATTGCTGTGACCCCCAGTTCGCTCCGTACGGATGGGCTCCCCACCATACCGTTTCCGAAGTTCGTCCCGAACCAGCTCGTCTTCAAAATCTGAATAACCGGGCTTATTCGGGGTCATATTGCCTTCTCTGTCCTGCGCGGTCTGGCTTGCATCGTACCACTTGGCTCTCTCTTCCGGGGTGTCGCCCGGGATATCCCCATCAACTCGACCGTCCCAATCCGCCCAGGCTTCTGCCACATCTCCATCCTCAGGAGGGTCGGGTATGTTTTTCTCTCCCTCCAGCCAGGACGGACGATCTTCAACGTTGTCATTACTCGTCAAAAATATGTAGCGCCCTCCTTGAAATTGATTTAATTGGTCAAGATCTTGCAGGGTCGGATGGTCTTCTTGTGACCGGACGGGTGTATAATTCAGCATTGGGGTTGTGTGATAGAGGTGCTCAGCGATATCACCAGGCCAGAACTGTTCGCCTGAAAACAAGTGGACGAGAGGCGCATATCGAAAAATGTAGTCTGGAATTTCTCGACGAGACCTTTCGGATTCGTCCCACGTGGCGTCCGAAAGATTGCCCCCGTTCGACCAAAACGCCCCCCAGGAAGTAGAATTAGACTTTCCTGGTGAAAGTGTTTCTGAGATGAGCTTGTGCTGGCCGAAACGGGGGCGAACCGCGCGGTAATGCGCGGTACCACAGAGCCCTAGCCACCGGCAGGCTTTCTGATCAAACCACGAATGCGAGGAAGCAATCCAGCGGGCCTCGTCTTTATCTTCGGCAGACCAGATAAAAGCCGAGGGGTTGACAGCCCGGATCAAGCTATTTATTGAAACGTATGCGATTAGCGACGAAAGGATGACAATTGCGGCGGTAGCTCTTTGTACCATCTGCTCGCGGAAGTTGGGTGGAGCCGTGAGGTTGGAGTGATTAAAACGTGTCGAACTGCAGCAAGCAAATCCGACCTCGTTAGGATGGCTAGCAGCGGGCGCTGCAGAGCGTAGAAAAGTGGTGACACTGGTGGTGCTGGCAGACGCTCTAACCGCAATAGCACCGCTACTATGCTCGGATAAGACCGTAGCACTCAAGACAGGGTCCTCGGAGTGAAGTGGAGAAAGTAAAGAAAAAGGCACATGAGACCACGCCGTGGCAGGACTATAGAAGACCAGTAACAAGGTATGGCAGCAATAAAGCCAGGCAACCAGACCTGGAGACGGGGGTGAAGGAGAAAGAGACACTATAAGGGAGGCGCGCAGGCATTATTGCTCCGTCAGCAGCGGTCGAGAACAGCATTGAGAACGATAGCATGGCTACCGAGAGCAGTAAAAGACCAGAGGGAAAGATTGACACTAAGGTAGTTGGACGATGGGTATGACTGAATTGTCCACTAAGAGAGACAGGTCGGGAATGACGGAAGGGGATTAGATAATGGATGATCATAGCATGGAAGGTGACGGATGCATCTTCCAGATCAGCAGTACTATTAGCTCCCTTGCTTCCGCGCACTGCCGAATCAATCAGGAAACGCAGGACGGGAGGGACGGAAGAAGATGGCAAAACGGAGGATGTTAAAATGTTTAGTTCGTGTAAGCTACTTACTTGGCATAGTCTCAGTGGAGATCTGGATATCAAAGGAGACAGAACCAGAGGTAGAGGCAAAAAAGGAACAGTACATAAATTCAGTGGTGGAGATGATGAAGTCATCCCCAAAGCTTGATCATCTCTTTGAAGGAAGGTAAACATGGTATTCAGGGTGGATGGTATCAAGTAGTGCTAGTACCTAATACGCCCCAGTACGTAGTAAACAGAGGGGCAGGGTGTGAAGATGAATGTATAGTTTAGTTCCTGTTAGTATTCAAGTAGGACCTGTTTTTTAGAAAAACAAATCATTTTTATTTCATTTTCCTACAAGGAATATGGTTCATTGATTAATTGATACTGATTCAAGGATTCAATTCTAACTGTACAGTCACCGCCTGTTTGGTTAACTCCTGGTACTAGGCTAGACTAAAAAGAGGCTTAATTGAAGTTGGGTAGTTGAACTAATTGAACCTAACAACAACTCATAAGGCGGGGCCGATTTAATCTTCCCGCGAACCCCGATTCAATTTCTTGCCTAACTACAAATTCGCAACCCCTCCACGTCACACCAATCACCCACCAATCACCGTTACTACTTCCCATTGCAATTTTGGATGGATACTATCTTTTGTACTGAACAGTCCATTTGGGCCTAGAAGGATTATCTAATCTCGCCATGTGTCCTCACACGGAGCCTACATTGGTGCTGGACCCCGCCATGTTAATGGACTCAACATTATCGGACGAGGAGGGCTCTGATTATGAGTACGAATACGATGAGAATGAGACGGAGGTACGTTTTGATTCGCAATAGGATATTGCGATCATCACTCTGCATCTCTCTTTCTCTCTCTCTCTCTCTCTCACGCACCCTAATTTGCGTCCAGCTGACTGGAAGTCGCTCATAGACCTTCTATCTTAACATCGACCTCACCTCCTCTCATGGCCCCATCCGACCCTCTCGACGACGTGCAGACCTCGTGACGGACCCTTCATCAGTTGCGGCTGCTTCAAGTCTATCATCTGTCTCCGTCCACCCTTTCCGAAACGATGAGAATGAGTCGGCTCTAGCAAGCACCGAGCCTGACAATAGCCCTGCAGACGGGTTCCAAATCCTAGGCCTTCATACCCACAATCCTGTCGTCTCATATCAGAACCAAATATTCAGCTGCTCCTGGGCCGATCAAATTGGCACCGAATTACACTTCACGCGACCTGAGCCGGAACCTCAACTTGGACCAGGGCCAGAACCAGAAGCGGCAGCTACCCGAGTTGCTCCTTTAAAGCTTGATAAAGCCTTCAGCCTCATCGCCGCTAACAATGTCAAGATTCTAGGGCGCAGAGCGAACCTTATCTCCAGTGCAGGCCCTGTTCAGCACTCACTTTACTCAGGTGATGCACTAGACATGACGGGAGGGGCAAACCGCAGAGTGGGTCCTCAAACAAACCAAGCTCTGTTTTTAGAGCGATTGAGGAGCATCAAGCAAGCCAGAGGGGAGATAGACACTGTCCGCACCGTTTTCAGTCTAAAACGAGCTCAGAATCTCGAAGAGCGCTTGCGCGGTTGGGCGCGGACAGAAGAGCAATTGGCCGAGATTCAGCAACTTAACGATGCCGCGCTTCAAGGAAATTCCGACGCCATAGCAGAACTAGAGAATATCTACAATCAACTTGGTGCTCAGGACCCTGCGTCATTCGAAGACTCGTTTCAACAACGTTGAGATTTGAGAATGCTCCAAAGTGGACATCTTATGAACCTCTAAAACCCTACCAATAAGGCCATCACTAGTGAATATCGTACGTTACGTTACGTTTACTCGCCGAACCAGCAATTTAAAACAAGCCATATGCGGGGTTTACTATACCACATGAGATATACACACCTGGCCGACGACGAAGAACATGAACGGATCGATTGATTTAGTGCCTAGATCACTTCGGCCTTGGCATGAAGTCGTTGAATTAGGTACCAGGTCTTTCGTAACGACCTTGGTAACCCGTTTTACTCCCTTCACTAACCAGTTTGTTATCGGTGTGTCGCCATGACTGTTTGGTGATTATGTATGATCATGTCCGTAGCTGTATCGCCGCAATGGGTGTGGGCTGTTGGTTGGATGATCGTTGAGGAGATAAGCTCTTGGAAAGGTCCTTAATAGAGGTATAAGCTTTGATCTATCTTCAATGTGGTGTGAGTCCTGTAAAGGCCCAGAACCCTGCAGAATGACGCTGGAGGCCTCCATATAGACCAGTTTAGAGGGTAGCTAGAAGTCCATCAACTATTAACACACTAGCATATAAAAGAACAGTATCTACCCTGGTGCAGGGGTATCATGACAGGTAGGTGGTAATGGAGAGGTAGGCTGACGGTCATCAAACAGGCGGCAATTATCTTATGACAAAAATGGGGAATGAGCTACTAAAAATTGAGTGATAAACAGGGAGTTAAAGCGAGAGTTGCTAAGTCTGAACAAAAATGGAGACCAGAAACATGGTGAGTTGGGAAAAGAGACCAGAGGACAACAAACAACTAGTAGTTTCTCGAAAGAAGAGTGGTCCATGTCTACTACTAGTACTAGTAGTTTTACGTCGGGGATTCACTATCGCCTCCCGTGTCGTAGAGGATATACATACATAAAGGGACAAAACGACGACACTAATTAAGAAAACGATATAATTGATAGCCTCTATATATAGTCACCCCTTTTATAGCGGAGCGTGAAGCACTCCGCTATTATATCGGTTTAGTTGGCCCATTCATTTGCCCGTTGAGGATCGTCATATCCCAGAGTCCAGAGATCAGAAAAAAGAAACAGAAACAAACCACCTCACCGTGTCTTATTCCTGTGCCAGTGGCTGGGTATTCAGAGTGGGCATGCTTGCCATGACGACGGGATGGGAGGGTGGGAACTGGGGAAACAAGGCGAACAAGGTGCAGATCATTGTGGACTTAACTGAAGCATGCTTCTAGCACCCGATAAAGAAACATTGGGACATACATGTATGTATACATGGAGTGGAGATTGTGGAGAGTATGAAGAGGGAAATGAGACAATGGAGTGTAGGGACTAGTATTGTGTATAGATAGTCAGCCCAATTGGTTTAATATCTAAAGATCTGATGGGGTGTATGTTTTAGTCCACCGATTCTTTATGCAACAGTTGAGGGTGCAACTGCTTATTCGAGGAGATCCCAGAATACCAGGTGCAATATTTATGTATTTTTTTTTATGTTCACAAGCTCTATGTGAACAACGGGAAGCTTCTTTCGCAACATTAGGAAACGATATAACACGGCGACCTTCTGGAATTCGGGGCTATAGTTGTATTTTATATACTCTCGATGCAGGAAAAAACCCCGGCGATTCTCTTTATAGATATATGTGTTGTACGGAGTACACTTATTTGTGTTCTCTGGTCAGATCTTGTCATGATTAGGAGGGGTGGCAAGGTATGGGTATAAAGAGTATTGGAAGATAATGGAGCGTGAGAGACAGGAATCCTAAAGGCAAATTGAAAAGGAACCCTTATTATGCACAATCAGATTCATAGCACGCGAATGCTTTGATTCACAAGTGTTATGGTAGTGTTCGATTTTCCTACATTCTTCAATAGTTACTGGTTTGTATTTGTGAGCTCCATAGATTAACTAACTAGTTAGATTTGGCAGTGTCTGTGTTTACCTACTCGTAGTTCACCTGTATAAGTTATGAATGGCTTCTAAGCCTAAATAGAAACATATGATGGCAAGAATCTTAGCATTTCTGAACCTGAATCCACGGAGTAAACCATATGATTCCCTGCCCCACCTCTCCTAAACTTTTTCTTTCTCTGTTTCCATCCAAAGGAGAGGAAAAGTTTTTAACCAAAACTATAAGAAGTTATTCCTTAATACTTGCAAGACTGCTCCGTACAGTAGTAAGTATACTAACTGCACTTACCCCTGCAACACACATCACTATGCTGTTAGAGATCGCCATGTCCAGATATCAGCTGACCCTGACTTAGCTAGCAGTGGCTCTTGTTGCTTAAGAGTACGCTATCTTCTACTATTGTATGCACCACTCAGCTAATTACCTTATCGGTTCGCAGCACAAGCGCTCCTGGTTGGACTGAGGCACAGAGTCTGTCCATCACTTCTGCACCATTGACGTTAGATCCGATTGAGCATCGTTCAATCAGCATCCTTCCAGAGATATTCTCAAAGTAGTCAAAAGATGCATCTCACAGCTGCGCCTGTCCCAAGCACACGTCACCAGACAGAACTGTATGGTTCTATCAGAATGGCACTGGCCATGATGGATGTAATTGGTAGCAGGATAACCACATGAAAGCTTTACACTACGGCCGAAGGCCAAACGCAATCCATGCCTGGCATTTAGTAGTACCTTGTCTTCGATATATACAGGTGTAGACCAATCCTTAGCCTGATCATCTTATCTCTGATATTTTTTATGCTATATCAAAACCTCTCAAGGATTGTCTCTCATATGCAGCATTTGACTCCAAGGTTCTTTGTAGTGGTTTATTCGGCCCTTCAATTACCGAGTAATCTGCTCAGTTCCCAAAAAAAAAAGAAATATTGAGAGAAAGAGAAAGAAAAGATAACCTAGACATAGCGTAGCCTCCAGGACATCCTTGTACCTAAATCCCTTGAACAGATATCCGAACTTGTCAGAGTGCACCATGCCAAAGAGTCCCGAGTAATGCCGGCGTCTTGAGTTAAGAGATATTTCTATACACGCCTTTCCAGACCATGTGTAATGATTCTGGCCTAACACGAGGTCGCCGATGTTGATAATCAGTTCATGTTCTTGTAAATGCTGGTGAAGCAGCCATTGTCAACGATATGTACGAGCATTGGGCTGTCTGCTAATTGCTAATAATTAGTTCATCCGCTTGCCTTGCAATCAATTCAAAGACTTCTACTTTGAGTGGCTGATCACGTCATCGAATAAACAATTTTTCTAGGCCGTCCAGAAAAAGAATTTGTTGGAGATTTACTCCGTGCCTCGTAGGCTCATACTGCCCCTTTGAACAGTGGAGGTAAGTGGAGACCAGGCAGAAGAGTCCAGACATCGTAGTTGGAGGCACTGAACCGTAACGGGCGAGAGCCTAAACCAACCCCGCCTTCGTACCCAGCTGCGGCTTAACAATGTCTGTGGGCGAGATTTCCATGGGGTAATAGCATGGGGTAGAATTGAGCCATTTTAATAATGAGAACGGGACATTGCAGGCTACACCGAGTATGGTGAAGTGGGATTGGACTGAGCGGATTCACCCCGCAAATCACTAGTATTGGACAGGCCATTGATCCAGGTACGGATCATGGTTGGGATCGACTAACCCCGCAGTATCATGAAAAACTCTGACCTGTGACTTCATCTTTCTTTTTACCTTTGAACTTTTCTCTGCCGCCAAAGATTTTGAGAGGTCCCATGATTCGATCTCATTCCATAGCATTTTCCTTCCTATTCTGCTTACATTTTAATACATTCAACATAAAATGTTCTGATGATATGATATGATATACGTAGTACCAATCAATCAATCCTCTTTCTTCTATTTCAACTCCCCATATGCTTTCGCCTCCTGCAAAACGATTCCCTAAATCAAATCATCGATTACATAGAAGTATAGGTAAACTGCCACAAATTACATCGCTCAACCAACACCTGCCTTGCAATTCTATCGGTTACGAAATTGCGGCATTTTCTGAATCAGTTATTACGCAGGAGAATCATGCAGAACCGATTGCATGCAACAGTCGTTGATGATGATTTGCAGGTCACTAGCCACCATGACACACCAAAATGCCCTTTCAAGACGTACTCCGGCGTACAGCCCTACTAAGTGGAGAGCTACACACAAAATGATAAATCCACCAGACCTGGGGCCAAGGCGTCTCTTGTCAGCTGACTAACAGACCCGCTATGTGTTTCTTATCATCAGCTGAAAATTATCTGGTACTCGCTACATAGGCGTTACTGTAAGATGGCTCTTAATGGTGCAGTTGTCCTTATTGTCAAGCAATTCTATTGTAGTAGCACAGCCATTAGTGCCTAAGGCAGGTGTTGGCCGAGCCACTCTGGAACGTTGGGTTGAGGCAATTTTTCCAATTTTAGCCTCAGGGAGCCAATCACGTCTTTCAGATGCGGCATTTTCTCTTCTTGCCTCATTCGCACTACCTCCAGACTACGGCGGCGCTATTCCTGAATTGGAATAGGAACTTGGCAAAAACTTTGGTACAATTGAATACCGGTACGTACCGGCAAAATTGAGAGATTAAAAAAATCTAAAAAAAGGGATTAGAAGGCTAAGAAAGATCAAGGACAATGAGATATATGCTAGAATACATAGAGACACGTATCTTGAAAGGGAGAGTAGTCAGAAGGCGTAGAACTGGGATTCTTCTTAGTTGGAGCAACGTGGAGGATAGTGTACGTGCAAGACTACTGTGGAATGGCCACACCGCACTAAAGCCATCAATCAACCTGATCCACATGTACGGAGTAAGATCCACTCCAATACAAGGATGGGCATCGGATCAACAATTCGAGACTCTTATCCACTCTTTCCCAGACAGGAGTGACTGCCCCGGACCGGTCCCGTGCCTGGCCGATCGCATAGCGCCGGGTATGATCTCAGCAATGTTCAAAGACTTATAAGGACTTGGAGCCCGCTGCCGTTCCTATGAGTTTTCGATTATACATAGGATCATATAAGAGATACTTCTCTCTCCTCTCCCCATATTCATATTGTCTTTTGATATCTCCATACCTACCCCAGTTGTTGACAGTCCCAGCTCGGTGACGTGTCGATTGCATGGCTTGTACCAAGAAGTAGAGTGACCTCTCACTTCTCGTTCTTTTTTGTGATTCTCTGATAAGGTT